TAGTCGGGGAATATATGCGGTACAACCCTCTAGAAGAGACGCTATGAACCCTACTCTTGACATTCAGCAACAAATGGCACACTTAACACTGCAGCTAGCATCACTGCAGGCGACTATTTCCACCATCCATTCTCGACGCCCCAGGTCTACGTCCAGAAGGAGATCATTATCCAGACATCGTCTTAGGTCACCTAAGCGGGCACCTGGAATTTGTTGGTATCATTCGAATTATGGTGAGAAAGCACGTCGTTGCACAAAACCGTGCAACTTCACGACAAGCAAGCCAGGCCATCAGGGAAACGAAGTGGCCAGACAGTAATAGCGGCAGCTGTTACTGGCCAACATGTCAGCCGCCTCTTCCACATCAGGGATCGTATTTCTGGCTCAGACTTTTTAGTCGATACGGGAGCAGAAATCAGCATCATCCCACTCCATCTCTCACGCAGACAACATACGACAAGCACTAAATTGTCCTTGGTAGCAGCTAACGAATCAGTTATCAAAACTTACGGAGAACAATCTCTTATATTAGATCTCGGGCTCCGCAGAAGATTCACATGGGTATTCATAGTTGCTCAAGTCAAACGACCCATCCTCGGGGCCGATTTTCTTAGTGCGTACAACCTGTTAGTGGATATGACCAACAAGAGATTAATCGACGTAAACACACGTTTACAGGTAAATGGTACACTCTCCAACGACAACGAAATCCATGGTGTTCGAATAATGGAACCTGTGAACAACATCTTCAACGACATTCTAACAGAATACCAGTGCATTATGAAATCAGATTACCAAAAGGAAGGTAACCCACAGCTGGTGCAACACCATATCACTACCACCGGACCACCTATTAGCGCCAGGGCGAGGAGACTACCGCCAAGCAAGTTGCAAGTAGCCAAAAGAGAATTCGAACATATGATGCAACTTGGTATTATCAGACCATCCAACAGCCCATGGGCCTCGCCGTTACACATGGTACCAAAGAAGGACCAAGATTGGCGTCCGTGTGGTGACTATCGACGATTAAACAATCAAACCATTCCCGACAAGTACCCAATTCCGCATATACACGATTTTTCATTAAACCTACACGGTAAATGCATTTTTTCGAAGCTCGACCTGGTGCGAGCATATCACCAAATTCCGATGGCACCAGAAGATATCGAGAAAACAGCTATCATCACACCCTTTGGCCTGTTTGAGTTTCTAAGAATGCCATTCGGATTGAAAAATGCCGCCCAGACATTCCAACGATTCATGGATGATGTCACAAGAGGTTTAGACTTCGTATTCGCCTACATAGACGACGTTTTGATCGCAAGCTCATCAATAGAAGAACACGCCCAGCATGTTCAGATCCTCTTTGAACGTTTTAAGAAACATGGCGTGGTTATCAATCCTTCTAAATGTATATTCGCCGTCCCAGCCTTAGAGTTTTTAGGACATTACATTGACTCTCAAGGCATCAAACCACTCACAGAAAAGGTTGAAGCTATTACCAATTATCCCGAACCAACCTCGGGGAAGTCATTACGACGTTTCCTCGGTATGTGTAATTTTTATCGCCGCTTCTAACCACATTGTGCTGAAGTATTACAGCCGTTAACCGATCTGTTGAAAACCGACAAAAAAGGTACGAAGAAAGAGAAGGGTCAGACATTTAACCTACCCCCTGACGCCAAAACAGCATTCGAGAAAGCAAAGTTGATAATATCTAATGCTACCATGCTACAGCACCTAAACACCGATCCCACAACAAACATCATCCTCTGCACTGACGCCTCCCAAAAAGCAGTAGGAGCAGTATTACAGCAATGCGTTAACGACAAGATTACTCCTATAGCTTTCTTTTCCAATCGATTATCACCAACTCAAGAGCGCTATAGCACCTTCGGACGCGAACTTCTGGCTATGTACTTAGCTGTAAAACACTTCAACTTCCTGCTTCAGGGACGTGATTTCACCATTATGACTGATCATAAACCACTTTGCTATTCTTTCAACACGTCCTACGATAGACACTCTCCACGGGAAGCCAGACAACTGGATTACATTTCTCAATTCACTACGGACATCCAGTTCATCAAAGGCTCCTCCAAGATTGTCGCTGACGCTCTATCTAGAAAGGATATCAACATGATGGTACACAACCACAACATCAGTCTCGAAGCTTTAGCTAAACTACAAGTGGACGATGTAGATTTGAAGATCTGCAACGAGAAGTCTAACTTGAATCTTAAACCTGTACCCATTCTTTTCTCAGATGCATCTATTATTTGCGACACTTCAACGGGTAACAATCGCCCCTTTGTGCCACAACCCTATCGACGAAAAATATTTCAACAGCTACATGGACTGTCGCATCCAGGCATCAGGGCTACCACGAAGCTTATCACAGAACGCTTTGTTTGGCCAAAAATCAATTCGGATGTTAAACGTTGGACACGTAACTGCCTCCAGTGCCAACGCAGCAAAATCCAAAAACACACTATCAGCCCGATCGGGGAATTCCCCATTCCCGACAAACGTTTTCAACATATTCATTTGGATTTAGTTGGGCCACTGCCTCCGTCAAACTCCTTCACCCACATTCTCACTGCGGTGGACAGGTTCACAAGATGGGCCATAGCCTGCCCTATAAAAGACACTTCAGCAGAAACGGTCGCTTCAGTCTTCCTCGACCGCTGGATATCTAACTACGGAGTACCTTACATCGTCACTACCGACCGTGGTCCCCAGTTTCAGTCTATTTTATTTCAGGAATTCACAAGACTTCTGGGTGTAAACCACATCAAAACAACAGCCTACCACCCAGCAGCTAACGGCTTGGTCGAAAGATTTCACCGCCAATTGAAAAGCTCGCTGATGGCACAAGATGATACGACAAAATGGAGTGACGCATTACCGCTTGTACTCCTGGGTATCCGTTCAACTATAAAGGAAGATATAGGTTGTACAGCCGCTGAGCTAGTTTATGGTACAACCCTTACATTACCAGGTCAACTAGTGGACCCAAACACTTTAACACCAACGGACCCAAGTCGTTTTGCTAGCCAACTGCTGCAGACCATGCAACAGATCAAAGCCATACCGCCTCGTGAACATAACAATCGAATACAACTCGACAGAAATCTAGAAACATGCAAGTTTGTCTTTGTTCGAGTAGATGCTGTCAAAAAACCATTGAAACAACCATACGGGGGTCCATATAAAGTAATTAAACGCACACAAAAATACTTCATCATCAGCAGAGATGGCAAAAAGCAGACTATTTCTATAGACAGAATCAAAACTGCTTTCTATGAATCTACTCAAGTCAAAGAAGACAACGCTGTTGACAATCAACCCCTTTCACCAGTGACTGAAAAACCAGGGGAGGTTAAAAAACTTAATACTAAACCTTCTTGTTTAACACGCTCCGGCAGACCTATAAACAAACCCAAGCGTTATGTTCATTTCGTCGATTAAAAAGAAAAATTTTTTTCGTTTTCCTTCACACAGTGTACTTAATCACATTTTTTTCCCACAATTATTCGTTTTGTCACATTTATATATATATATATATATATATATATATATATATATATATATATATATATATATATATATATATATATATATATAAATTTGTTACAATAATAAACGAGTAAACTCTATTTAATTATTCATTTGTTGTACACACACACAAAAAAATAAGCAGTTCATCTTTTTTGGGTTCAGTAACAGTTCTGTACATTAGTATCATTGTTAGCAAACCAAGCTTTTAAATGACGGTATTCTCATTACTTTTGTTTGTCATGCTATGCCACATCACCGCTATTATCACGCAATAACACACTGTATATTATTAACGTACATGTCATACGCATCTCCACATTGTTAATTAGTTATTATTGTAAATATTATTTTTTTTTTGTATCAAATTTTTATTATTGTTATTGTAACCAGTGTTACCTCCGGACATTCTGGGGGGAGCTATGTGGAGATAGACCTGACAACCTTATTTTGTAAATAGTTTTCAATGTTATTTCTATTTGTTTTGTCAATTTTTCACTGTATGTACATTTATCATTAAATGACTGTACGTGTTGTTTTAGTCAACGACCTTGAACACTTTTTCCGTTGTAATTCCAACATAGCGTGACACACATTTTCGGTTGTTCACAAATACACTACTACGCACATACCCATTGTTCTATTGTCGCTCGTTACCAAGTCAATTGCGTTCTAAACTGGATATTATCCTCATTTCAGACTGCAGTGTCATTCCCATTATATCCTACGTCAAAGAAACTTATTGGCGTCATATTTACCTCTGTGGAATTATTACGCATTTATAATTGTGGATTTTTGAGACCAAAACTCAACAGAACACGCAACGACTAGCCGATTTAAGTAACGTCCCTAATTTGTTATTGTATTTGTAACATTTAACTTGTAAATATTAATATTACTATTGATTGTTATTAACTTTGTTGATACTTTTGCGTTTATATATTGTTTGGTCCACCACAACATTATCATGAAATGTAGGAGTCAAGGCGAACATCACATAAATTTCATTTTGGCACACTAAGGATACCAGATTGGGTTTGAAAAGCAGTCAGAGGAAGTATAAAGATTCTTCACTAAGTCAAGTGAAAATATGAGGGAGGTAACGTTAGTCAACAGATTGTTCTCCAGGCTTTAAATTGTCACTCAAGTGTCTTTTATTTCGGTCAACTATGCAAATATAAGAACCAGAGTGAGGAGTTAGAATTAAGAGTTAACTTGTTTCGGTTTGGGCATCCAGGCAATATCACAGCCCTCACACATATCAATGATAACTGCTACTGGCCTCATTATTATTGTGTGGCGCATATGTATTTAGTGCCCCCTTGTACCAATGTTTATGTGTTCAAATAAATAATAGTTAACCTTAGGAGTTAAAATTAAGAATGAGGATTACCGTTTCTGTCATGTCACGGTTCAACACATGATATCTTAAATCAGACTAATTCACCCATAAATTGTTATCCTAACCTCGATAGTCGAGTTCTACTCAACGTCACCATCTTGAACACGATATCTCACAAATATTGTAAAATCAAGACTGGAAAAAGAGAGAAAAGGAATTTTTCTGACTGTTTTCTTATTTCTTTGAATCACCAATTAATTACTTAATTATGATAACCGACTTTTTATTGACTTTTCAATGAGTTTGACATTTCGCATTTTTCCAAATTACGTTAGCAGATACATTTCAATATATTTCTTGCATAAATTGAATTTAGTTAGATGGGTGATATAAGTATCAAGAACAACAATTTCTATCTCATTTTCATTCATCCACTGTTTATTCGCCATTTTTTATTAAAATGATTCGTCCCAACCCGATGTTTCATCTTCTGGTTCTTCTGTTTCTTCTGGATATTCATCGAAGTGTCTGAGATCACTTTGTGACGTTACCTTGTTTAAAGGAGAGAAAAAGTGGAGAAATGGGCAAAATCTTAACATAATGTTATATTAAACAAATATAAACAAGATTATTTAGATGTTGCCATCCTTTGAACAAATCAGCTGTAGACTCAAACAAATTAATTCTGACTAAGTACGATAATGCAAGTAAGAACTGAAGTTTCTAGATTTATTCATAGATGTGGACGTATTTAAATATTGCTGATAAACTTCAATTCAGAAAGAAAGAAATTTTCCATGCTACTTGGTTTTTTGATAAGTTTCCACGCGAAGCCGTTTAAAACTGAAATAATATCCTCGATTATGTGTCTTAATGAAGTGAAACTCTAAAAATGTGAAATATATGTTAACTAGGTAATCTTATTATCAAAATAAATAATATAAGCAATTATTTACCGCAGTGAACTTCAGTCAAAACCTCATGTCATATGAATACTTATTAGTATTTTTATGTAAAAGGTAAAACATATTCACTTGATCCCTCTAGGATCTAATTTCTAAGTCAAAAATATTTTAATAGATCACGTGTTGGAACTGAGAAATATATTTCTTTCTCCTAAACAATGATACCGTGGTCTATGTTACTTATTCTGAGAGATATAAGTAATATCTAACCGCATTTGGAAGTGAAATACCTGTCATCAGGAGATTGAATTAAAGAGAACTGAAAGGAAATCGGAGAGGAATCAAAATAGCAATAGAATTAGAGGAATAGTGGAGTATACAAAGGACAGAGCAAAGATGTGCAAATAATGTATTGACTGCATGGTTTTCATGTTTTACAAAAGTACTATGCAGTTTTGAATTAAAAAATGAGTTGGTTTTACGCCCATCAGTTCACATACGCTACGATACTAGCTGTCTGCTCAGACGTAAGTGCATGGAACAGACCTGAAACTTATCACTATATGCTAGGAACTCAAGTGCTCCAAATTTCGAGACAGATCTTAATCTCGACCTGGGACTCGTGCTGCTCAAAACTCATAGTCAAGGTGTGTATGCAGTTCAGAGAGAAAAAATGCTATTCATGTAAATTGAACCCGCTTCGCTCCCTGCTGTGTTTGGTAACTTTATACTAATCTGTTAGGGCTGCGTCTGACATCCTGTAGGAATGTGGTTTTCATGCTAGTTTGTCACCGAGTAACAAATAACGTCATGTTATTTATTCGTCATTTAATTCTTTAAAACTTCCTTACCGAAATATTCAAATTTGTTGTTCAGATCTACACATAATGAGGATTGAACGGGGTCACTTAAAGTTTCTGGAGCTAGTGGTAGAAGAGTGTTACACACTCAAATATCATCTTTCAAATGAACAAAGAGTCAAGTCGACATTCACATTCTGATCTTCAGTCGTTAGAAATGAGATTTGAGAATAATATTGAGCAGATTAAGGTTTGTAAAGTTTTTACAAATCATGTCAGCTAGGCCCCCGAATTTCCTGGTATGGCCGGGGGCGAGGAGAGTTAGCTCTCCATCTCGAAATGCACTCACATGGCCACGCGTATACAGCCACTGCCAGGGAGGTCCTTCTCGTGGCAGGGGTGTTGTTTACGAAATTGAGAGAACGAAACGCAAATGTTCGGTACTTTACCCGGGTTGGTGGATACGGAGGGTCCACCTAGGAGAGTTGGGAAACCCTGATTCCAAATCGATGGTGCACATGAGCTCCAGGATCCTGAAGGAACAAATTGCGTACGAACCAAATGTTGGTCACCGGTTACCATGAGAGTGCATCTCCTAAAGTTGCCCCACTGGCTTGTGGATCAGACTTTTTAGTCGAAGGCTCTGTGTGTGGCCCCCTAAGGAAACCACCTGTTTCGGTCTGGACACACGGGCAGTATCACAGCTAACACACAAATGAACTAACACGTGTGTGCCCCTTTGTACCGATATTTATGTGTTCACATAAATAAATAAAATGTCAGCTATTCATAATGAACAAAATGGCAATTTAAAAATATTTTGAAATATAATTAACATATGCAGTGTTTAAGCTGGCATTTAAATATGTTAAGAACTGATTCTACTAATTAAAAAAATATGTTGAATCACTTGTCTTTCATATGGTGCTTTTAATACTCGTTTACGTAATCCAACCCAATCGAATCCTTCAAACCATACATGCCTTTCGATTTCACGTAGTCCTTCTTTTCCTATGCCATATCGTTCAGTCGGATTTTCACTGTGAAAATTAAAGATGACGACGAACAAATGAGATGAATAATATTGTTCATGAGGACATTAAAATAAGCTCATATAAATTACTAGTTGAATAGAGAAATTCTAGTGAATAGAAGAGGTAGTACGCCTAAGTAGAACCTTTGACCTAAGAACAAGATTCAATCCTTCATACTTTATTTGACCCAGGTATAGTTGAGTGTAAAAACGTTCGATGAATGAAGTCACAAAACACAGTCCAGTATCGTTACTATGAGTAGTAGAAAAATTTATGTTTAATTATTTGACAGCCCAAAATGTGATTTTTGTGTATACTGTTCCTTTCACTATCAGAACTAATATATTTTTACAGTCTTTTTTGTGCGACTATGCTTTCAACTAGAAATCGAAACGAAACCTTGCTGGAGGAACTCTTTGTTGTTCAAACGCATAGCAGCCATTCAGTAACAACTCAGCAATGCCCTAAGTGGGACCATATTTCTATGACCCATGTTAGTAAAACATCCTGTTTTTATCAGAACAGCACAGCAGTTATTGTATTTTAGAGACGACTGACAGGATGAGGAGTCGAATGTGAAACAGCTGACAATAAGCAAACATATCTACTTACGCTTATTCAATTAGGATTGAATTATTTGTGTCATTTGTAAAAAGGATCACACAAGCAGTAAAATAACTATTTCATTAGTGTGTATGATATCATTATGCACTATGATCAGCTTATAAAATCTCTAACTGGATCTACAAACCAATATATACGTACCTAATCAGGTTAGGAGAAATAAAACATTTCCTTACAAACTTTTTGAAACATATATCTATCAATAGATTCAATGAAAGGTTTCCACAAGTTCAACATCAACAGTCAAAGGCGTATGTGATCGAAAACTGAAATGATGTTTAATGGTTAAAAAGCAGATTATGTAATAAGTCTCAAGAGGTAAGTATTTTATTGGTGATACTACATCAAAACTAAACAATATGAAGTGTCTTTCGAAAAACGTTTTAAAGCAGAATTTACTGGATGTTTTTACATTGTTTATTTGCACGTATAAAGAACTAATAACATCGAGTAATTTATTAAAAATAAATAAATGAACTTACCGACAAAGTTTTTTAACTAAAGATTGAGCATTTTTTGACATTCTTGTTGGAAAATTAACAGCATCTATTCCTTTTAATATAATTCCATATGTGCGCATTGTATCTGGTGATTCAAATGGTGGTCTGTGTTGGAAAATTGTTATTGAAATAAAGGAATCGATGTTGAATAAAAAGTAAATTGATACTGTAAGTAAAGCGCATAAATCTGCATTTGTAAAATGGGTCACATTTATATATTTCCTATGATCCATTTATATAACTCAATTCACAGTACTTTATATCAATATTATGGGAAAAGTTATATCGACTATGAAATTGATTAATAATTAATAGTACAGCTTAACAATTACCACTCATATAGTTTATTAAAATAATTATCTGTTCTTAAAATATATTTGGTTTATTGTATAGATGTGTAGTAATACACAAAAACCCTTACATGCCTATATTAGCTACCAGATTCAATAGGTAAGTCAAATGAAACCGCAATCACCTGATGATGGTTATTCGGTGTGAGAAAAACTGAACGATTTTTGTGAACAAATCATTCTTCAACCTGGGAAAAATTCTACCTTTTTATATACATAACTCTGAAAAGAAATGGTGTTGCGTTTTATTAAATATATTGGTTAGTTTTAAGTCTTGAAACACAATCTCAAAAGCAGCTTCAGAAAGAAATAAACTCTATCTTTCACCATTTCAAATGTTCTGAACCATTCAAAACTATCAGGCCGACATTGAGTCGAGAATATAGACTATTGAATAGTCTCAAACTGGAACCAAGTAACTGTTCACTGCTTAATGGTTTACAGTGGTTCTGTAACTAATATCAGTGTGTGATGAAAACCATATTTACTCTCTTTGAAAACTGTCATCACTTTGACTTTCCTGATTATATTCAATAAACTACTATTTATAACTGCTTGGCCACTGAGTATTGACCAATCAATCACAAGTATATTAGTCCTACAAGAGGTCAGTCACTGCATGAATAACCCATGGTAACTTCGCTGACTTTAAATTTGAGTGACATATTGTTGAGTCCTCCAGGGAGCATTAAATCTCTCAGGGTTACACACACATCTTACTGATGATTGCTAAGTGGCACGAAAGCTAGGTCTAGGGTTTCTTGTCGACAACCGTCAAATACTTGACAAAGTTGCCATTTATTAACCGGTGAAGTGATTTATTGCTCAGTTCATTTTGAAATTAATTATACAATAATATGTTGAGCTTCGTTTTCAGTAACCTGAGGTTCAATGGGGCGGGTTTTCAAACTAACGAGAACATTCTATTTATCGATGCATTGTAACTTCTACCTATCCATTATCACAACTAATGTAATTTTGTTTGTTCTCAAATAATAATTAAACCCTGTCTATCGGCTTTGTAATAGGACCACTCGGATGAGTCGCTCGACATCATAGATCATTTTGTCTGATGTTAAGCTGTTGACGAATGTAAATAAAATGTAACTCGGCAGAACATTTATGTTGGTTTTCGATTTGAAATTTCTTCCAGCATTACAAAAATAAAGCTTCCGTTTACGGTTTTGAAGTAGTATCTCCTAAGGCCACTGATACAAACATTATTACTAGACTATTATGTCTTTATATGAAGTTTTAAGTGATATGAAGTTTAAGCTGATGCAATACACACCTCCATCCACCACATAACTAAAAGGGTTAATCTGTAAGGTATTATGATAGCGAAATGGACCATTATAGTGGATTTAATGTGAACTTTGAGAGGTTTCACAAAGTGGTTTCCTGGAATATTTTTTAAAATAACTTATTTATAGTAGGTCATTATGTAAAGAATGAATAGTTTTGAGATTTCAGTGTGTTGAGTTACTTTAAAGTAGTTATAGATAGATATTTATACAATAATAGAGAGGATTCATAACAAAATTGTATGAACTTATAATGAGGATCCTAGGTGTTACATTGTATGACCAGAATACTAGAAACTAAATTCTTGAATCCAAGAAGAATGTAAATAAATAACTTGATGAATTTATTTGTCATTCATATATGAGGTCAGGCATCAAAGATTGTTTGTTCCATTTCGTTCTGAGTTCAATCGCCTTTAATTATATTTTATTGAGAATCTGATATGTGTTAGTGAGAGAAAAATATGATTGGACAAACAGACACTTGGCCTAGTAACTATTAATTATAAAATTTCCTTTAGTGTTATTGATTTATACTCTACACTCACTGAAGGTGACTGCTTGTAACTGCGTTGAATAAAGTATTATCTAGTGTTAATCTGGTTCTCTGTTCTTGGTTGTGAATCGTATATCTGATAATAACATGACCAGTCTCATTATCGTATTGACGTATTATCGTAGTGTACCGGAGAGAGAGAGAGAGAGAGAGAGAGAGAGAGAGAGAGAAATATCTGAAACAATCTGTTATATCAGAATCATAACATAATTATCGATATTATAAGCAGTTGTTGAAACAGTAGGACTTTGGTAACTTCTGATATCATCTATTAACCGTTGACGTCATTTTATAACAATATGTAGAGAGTTCCACAGCTTAGTTTTATTTGGTTGGCTATCATTTTAACAAAAATGACAGTTTTAAACAATCGAAGTTAACGGTGGAAGATCCGATCATTTATCGATTAGACTGTAAATATATTGGAGTAAAATTTATTTCAAAACAAAAGTAAAGAATTCGTGTTTTAATAACATTGATAATAATAATAATATTCAAGAACACTTACAAGCCTGTCAGTAGTTCAAATAACAATACACCTAATGACCAATGATCAACAGCAATATCATGACCTTTATTTAATATTACTTCGGGTGCCATATACTCTGGTGTACCACAGAATGTCCATGTTTTAGCTCCATATGGTAACTGTTTAGCAAATCCAAGATCTGTCTGTATGTGTTTATGTGGTTAGTACAGCAAAGTTAGAAAAATAAAGAAACCATTGTAGGAGTAGGAAACACAAAATATAACAAGTTAACCTTTATTAGAGTCGGTTATTCAGTAATGAACATAGGAGTATCTAGTTCGGAAAATTTTCCACTGGTTAATTTTTAAGAAGAAACAAATGAATAACTGTCTCATCTAGGCTTAGGACTACTTTGTGATGCACACATACGAACACCGATTGAATGATTCCAAGAATCTTCTAGTTACAATTCGAGTGCGTCATACTTAGACAACTAAGCAGCAATCTAGTAATCCACATCTCCAACTTTGAGCAATCAATAATAAAAGACGACCATCCTATGCCATTGATGATATATTGTCCACTATAATCAAGTTCTGTTGATTCGACTAGTTTAGATCCACTTTTATTTTCTGACTTGCCTACACACAGAAAATACGAACCATAAAATTTCCGATAGATTTACTAAAAAGTCGTACTAAGCACTAAATACTGGCTTTCACCACATATTGGGCAATTAGTGCACATCACTAAAGGGTCTAAGACAAAATCTTAAACAAGCCATCCACTAATCCATAATTTTTTATATCTTCCTAGATTATATCAGTTTAAAGTAAAAGGTAAATTGTTGCTAAACGATCTCCACAAATTTTCTGACTTACAAACGATGTTTACGTCTGTAAATGGTAGTTAAAAGTTTCAAGACTAAGCAAAATATCTATCCATTAATCTTAATAATACAGTGATTAATCACTTAATCTATAGGGCAGATCAAAATCTATATTCACACTTACTAGTTTACAATATCCTTGTGTATCCAGCATAATATTTTCCGGTTTTAAATCACGATACACAATATTTTTCCTATGTAAGTAATCCAATGCTTCAACTACACATGCCACATAGAACTGTGTAGCTTGTTCCGTGAAAAAATATCTATTTATACAATATAGAAACATATAGGGAAATCAACACTCAATTATTAAAGTATTAAATGGAAATGAAATACAAAATAATGAATAGGATGAATGAAAATAAATCGTTTAATAATTGAAAGAACTAAACTTATTGTTAAATTGTTGTAATACTGTTATGTAAGATGAAATTGATGTTTATGATAAATATGATACTGTAGACCGAACATGCCTCGACAGTAATGTTATAAGTATGTGTATTAATTTTAAGCAGGATATATTTAAAGTGAAGGTTTATAATTTATGAAATTACAACTTAATGATCTGGTGAATTATTTAACAGTAGCGCATAATTCTTTGATTATTAAATCTTGTTTGAATTCATAACTGAAAATTACTATTGAACAGTTCTAAATTAAGACGAAATTGTTGTTTAATATCACTTTGGATTTCAATGGCTTTATATCTTATTCCAATCTGTGATAAATGCCATCTTTTAATAATACTAGACTATATAAATACATCAAATTAACAACAATGATATTTTAATCATTATAGTAATTATGAAAATTATTGCGTAATTATAATGTAGTTAATTATTTTTGGTAGCGTAGTTGGTCATTTTCTAAAGAGCTAGTTTGCGAGACTATAATTAATGGACGAATCAATCAGGTATAAGATATCAAGTCTTAAATTCACTCAGCCATTCGGTTAAATAAGGGTTTGGCATTATAGCTCATGCCAGTTTGTGATGAAAACCCTTTATCTAATTCCTAACCTTAACCATAAACTGTAAATCATAATTTTAATTATCCATAGTTGTTTCTAACCCTCATTTGGTCCTAGTTATTAGGTGGACATCATCAATATCATTTCGGCGTCGCTTGAAGGTCGTCCATAAATTATATTCTCACCATTTTTATCAATCACAAAGTCATAATGTAATCAGATTTGCTTAATAGCTCAATAAATATAAAAGTTTTCAGTACTTATTTTAGTTAAACGGTTCATGAACAATAAATGTGTGAGATGATCATGCAATTTTTTATTTTTACATTATATTATTTACATTATATCTTACTAATGATTCCATTTTAAATGAGAATTATTTATTTTATAATTGAATTCATGAGCCAACTAAAGCTAGACCACCATGGAAAGCCTGGAAGCACTGAACGGCAATTTCGTCCTAGTATGGGACTCTTCAATAGTACGCATCCACCTTCGGTCTCGCGCACGAACACTTAACCTCTAGACCACTGAGTCGGCATCCCATGGTGTTAATGTCTAACTTTAACCAACCCACAAATCTTATTATATTTAAAGACGTCTTAAAGTATGTTACTTTACTATACGAAAAATAAACTAATGAAACAGTATCAATGTATATGTAAGAAAAGATTAACGGATTAAAGGAGAGTGGTAGTAGAATTTTCATGTTAGAAAGTAAGACCATAGTGGAGTGAGTTGTTCGAGTTCATCTTTAGTTCATTCATTTTGAGACTTACTGTGGGTATAAGAAAATTTCAATAATACACAGGAGGTGAAGATGTACTATCTGTGGTAAGTTTCTTTTTAATTTTTAGATAACTGAAATATTTGTCTATTGTAATTGAACCACATATATTAACAAAATGCTTATTATTTCACATATTATGCATCTGCCACTGCCTCTTTTCAACTGCACAAACTAATGCACTTGAACTATTTAGACACAATGAGCACCATCTATAAGAACAGGTGAATTAACAAATATGTAATGAATTTTTTGTAACAATCTTATATCTTAAATGATGTATCTTTTTCTCTAGAAATTTGTCTTTCAGTAATCTAAGCTGCATCTCAGAAGGGTGATTCAGAGTATACTATTGTAGCTGCTAATAAATCGTTATGTTCAACATTTGCTCAAATTTTTTTTGACATTTACTATTCTTTAATGCAGTGTTAAGTATTATTTCCTGTATGTGATCTTGTGTACAATTGCAAACCCATATTTCAATTTGCTGCTTTAGAAAAATTATCAGTTCAACATGATATTTTACTTCTGCATGACAAATCATTTTCAATTTAAAGTCTATGAAGATATGAAACCAGTGAAATTCGTGAAGAAAGCTTCAATAAAAATGTCAAAAGCATTGAATCGTACTGTGTTATAAAACAGAAAATCATTAAATTCATGGAGTTTGCTACGCTCTATGCATCATATAAAGTTACGTGATACCCATTTACTCAATGGAAATCAATTTGACCAGGTATGCAGTATTAATTAACGAAATTCTTTGTCTAAGTCTTCATTTATCATAAACCTCAGTTGTTAGATTATTTAACTTACTCGTTTTCATTTTATTAAAAGTATGAATAGAGGGGCTTTTTAGCTCCCTTCTTAATCTTATCCAAATTCTTATTGTTGATGTCATATCTTTTCATATTCTAGTGGAAACTCTCGAAAATGTTACTCTTCAAACTTCTTATAGCAGGAAATCTTAAGCTTGGCGTGAATGAGGCTGTCTGTTTTTTTAACTTTAGTAGTAACCAAAATGTATGAAACGGAAATCAGAAAATAACATAAACAGTCACAATCATGAACCTCATGATAAAATAAATAATGAGTTAGTAGATGCTTTTTTCATTTATTAGACCATTCGAATGAATGCACAACAACAAAATTAATTGAATCCCGTGAATTCATTCCATTTGAAAGTTTCTTAACAGCTGCATTCAGAATAAAGTTATAAAAAGTGATACGGTGAGATTATAATTAATGGACGAATCAATCAGGTATAAGATATCAAGTCTTAAATTCACTCAGCCATTCGGTTAAATAAGGGTTTGGCATTATAGCTCATGTCGGTTTGTGATGAAAACCCTTTATCTAATTCCTAACCTTAACCATCAACTGTAAATCATAATTTTAATTATCCATAGTTGTTTCTAACCCTCATTTGGTCCTAGTTATTAGGTGGACATCATCAATATCATTTCGGCGTCGCTTGAAGGTCGTCCATAAATTATATTCTCACCAGTAATATAATTAGAACTTTGTAAGTTAAATATTGTTCATAACTGACAAGAACCTCCTTCCTTTATTCCAATTTATCAAGAGAAATAAAAAGTGTGAAAAATGTTTTTATTTTTGTTTAGTAAATTTCGAAATTGGATAATCAAATAAATCGATAATTGGAAATCACGGCAAAACAACTAATCTCATGCAGATATTGAGAAGAAAAAAGCACACGTATGTTTTATAAACAAACCCTTTTGTTCTCCTTCATATTTTGTATAAAGAAGAGAAATGAATACATATAGAATAAAGCATTTTATATGTAAAGTAATTAATATAAATAAAATCATTTATCTAGTACAACTTTTCGAATATTACTAAAAAGATATAAACAATAGAACAAAATTATTATTATTATTACATTGTCAATCGACTTATGATATCAACTATTGAAATTACTACAATCCCCACAAAAACCCTTCTGATATGAATCAACATACGCTCACTAGTGACTGGGTTCAAGAGGTATATCCATGAGTTTTAGTGAGAAGCAGTGACCAATGGAGTCCAACCGGGTCAGTTGTGATATAGTAACTCACTGAAGACAATGATGAATGAGTCGCTCAATTTTGTGGATTAGTTTAAATGAGACATAAACACCGTTGGATCCCAGCCATCTCAGTGGTCTAGAGGTTAAGCGCTTGCGCGCGAGACTGATAGGTCCTGGGTTCAAATCCTGTGAGCTGGGGTAGTGGATGCGCACTGTTGAGGAGTCACACAATAGGACGTAACAACCGTCCAGTGCTTCCAGGTTTTCCATGGTGATCTAGCTTCAGTCGACTCGATTTTAACTACTGAAATTACTACAATCTACAAATCGATATATAGTAACACAAATAAAACTATTGGATAGAAATTTATTTAGTTTAAGGATAATTTTCCAGGTCTTAAGGTAACGATGATATTATTTAGCTATTATTAACAAAATTAAATGTTAGTTGCTTTTAGCTTTAATCAATTCCTAATGGATTAAGAGATTCGGTAATCTAAGGAGTTGACTCCATCATCTATTAAAGTAAATGAAAATCATGTTATATCACTCGGAAATTGACTTTAGTTTAAATTGTTCTTTATAAGACCTGAAGGTATAGTTTGATTATGATGAGACTCATTGATGTCCATTTATATTCAATAAATAACTGTCGAATGTTCGTTAGTTTCCAATGATTTGCCATGAAAATTATTTTTAAATTTAAATCAGTTCTAGTGTACAATAGTAAACAATGTCTTTAGTTATACAAAATGATAAGGTTAATAAACAGATAATAATGAAACTATATGGTTGTTGCACTATCTCAGTTTTTTTTTACAAATAGAAAATACCATTCAGGTATTAAACTCGGTGGTTTACAGTTAGATCTCGTATGTTCACTGCATAGGATGGCTATTGCATGATAACAAACTTTCTTCCTTTAATTAAAATAGTTCTTTTTTCATGTCATTTTTAAATGACACCTTATTATCCGAATATTCATCACGAAAGTGTCATTAGAAAAATGCTTAAACAAGGAAACATTCATTTTGTATACACTAGAAAAGTAGTTAATGTATCTATACTTGATTATTTGGATTAAATCTAACAGTTTATTTCAAAGTCTAATTATAGTACAGTGAATATAACAGAAATTTGCTTCATTTCAAATCTAACTGAAAAAAGCTACTAAAAACTCTATAAAGTAACTTAGTTTAGACGTTTTGATTAGAAGTTAGGTCGAAATTATAATTTATAAGCGAACCAATCAAATATAAGATAATAGGTCTTGGATTTTGGAGCGAAATTCACTCATCCATTTGGTTAAGTAGAGTTTTGGCATTATAGCTCATGTCAGTGCGTAATGAAAACTCTAAATCTAATTCTTAACCTTAACCATCAACTGTAAATCATAATTTTGATTCCCCACACTGGTTTATAACCCTCATTTAGCTATAGTAAGTAGATAGATACTCTCAAGGTCACTTCGGCTTCGCTCGAAGGTCGTCAATAAATTATAGTCTCAACGAAGTTAGTTTTTATCACGGTTTAATCTAAGCTGGAGAAAAGATTGAATAATCTCTGGGCGCTGGACGGGTGCCCCTTTTTGTACCAATAGACCCTAGTGATTCATACGAATGACTCAAGTGATTAAACCAAAGATCTTGGAATTTAAAATGGATCACGTTGTCTTCAAGTAGATGAGTCAGAACCCGATGGTTGACTTTTTCACCTTCAACCAACCAACGGTATTGTAGGCTAGCCATCTAATACCATTTATGGTATTTGTTCAAATTCCAATATGATCGAGTTTTATCTGTCACAGCTTCTTAGAAAAATATCCTAAGCTTACCTCAAAAAATAACTAGCTAACGGAACATTACTTTTAAGGTAGGAGTTAGTAGTGATTGTTTAATTTTCAATTATTTCTTGTCAGTGGCTAATTGTGATGTCATGAAACTAAGGATTTTATAAACTTTTGTTTGATACGAATAAATCTATAGTTACTTAAAGATAAATACGTTAACATACACAATGATTTATAATCTGAAAAACTCAGTAAAATGGAAATATCAGTGTGGACTTCAGAATTATTCTCGAAGAGAAATTTAAACAAAAATATTCCATGAGAATACTTTTGGCTTATTATTGTTTAATAGTATTCGAAAGTAGAAACCATAGTCATCAGTCATAGTTGTCATCTAGCTAGATCCAATTGGTGAAGCACAAATAGATCATTTTGTTCAGTCAAACGAGAATTCAATAGCAGTATAAGCTGATTAGTTTAGTTCATAATGTTGAATCAGTTTTCACCTATTTCAAAGGTCAGTAATAAGTAATACTCACATTTTGAACTTCTAATACTGAGAATGGACGCTCGTAATTTTACAGCAATCGGCGCTAACTGTTTATCAGGAAATAACTGTATCATATAAAAAAACAAGATTAATGTATGCTGAAAAGAAATTGAAGTCGCTTGATGGATTTAATTGTCAACTCACTTGTCCTTTAGAAGAGACCAAAGTTCACCACCCAGACATACTTCAAGCAGTAAATAGACATATTTATTATCTCTGAATGTTTTGCATAGTCTGAAAAAGAAGCGACAACAAAATAGAGAGGAAAAAGTAGAAGCCTAAGTGAACAGTATTGTTTTCTTAAGCTGAGAAATCTTTTATGATAAAGTAGTCAAATCAGTGAGTTGAAAGATGAGAACCAAACGCCTTTATCATCAAGTTTTTCTTGACTTGAACTTTAAATATAAATAAAAATTATTATGAACATTTTGTTACTCTAGTCATACTATGTATAAGAAAGCAACTTCACTTATTGCGTAACTGAACCATTACTTATTCATTAAGACATACTCAAAACTTAATTTTAATCCCTGTGACACCGGTTAATTATCTAATCACTCTATTATTATTACTGTCAATATTATTATTTGTAACTACATTGCCGTCACTTCATATAGATTCTTGACAAATAAAAGTGATTTAGTCTGAAGTAATTTGGTTTAATTACATATTCTCTATCATTTTTCTAAGGTTTTCTATCTCGTCTCGAATTTTCATGACAGATTCATTAATGAAAGTATGTTAAACCTTTTTTCAAGCCATGTAATCCATTGTCGGTATCCTTGAACGACAGTGGTTGTTAATTAGTCGTACAGTATTTTTCATTACCGTACCAATTCACACAGAAACAAAAAATGTCTCTACCTTCCAATCAATTTCAGTTGCTATTTCAGCGACAACAGCAGCGCTTTAAAAAGAATCAGTTGAATTTATAGACAATTTACGCACACGACTGCCGAATCATCCATGCTTTGGAGATGTGACGGGAGTTAATGAACTAATTTCTAAATTGCGTACAGAGCTGGAAAATGATTGCATAATGAGTGCATGTGCTAGTGTAGGCCTCCATGAATCCTCGACAAGCAGTAATGTAAACGAAACAGTAGCAATCATACATGATCCGCCCATTGGTCCTAGAATGTCCATTTCACAAACATGTCCTGCAGTGGGTTCAAATTCCATTATTTCCGAAACATAATGTACAAACACTGACTTTTGCAGCTCACATAAGGATGATGTCAGATTAAATGCTCATGAAATTGTTGCAGTACCCGCCCACGAAAAAAACAGAAAATAAAACAAGCAACATAATATAGTTGCACCAAATGAAGCTCATCATGCAGCGAAAAAAGTTCCTGATAAATCTACTTATCGGGATTCTCTAGTTGTTTTATCAGATATGAGTTAACTTAATGACTCACAAGTTTTTGATCAAATTTCTTACAAAAATGAAAAAAGAGATGTCGGATGTATCAAATGATGATCAAGAACGCAATGAAATTTTGATAGATGCTGATTATCCTAGTGATTCTTTAAATACTAATGAGATTTTCAATAGATTTGATGAAAATTTTTCAGAAGAATCAAACCCATATCAAGTGTCGTTGATCCTTATCATCTAGTCATTTCTAGTCGACTCTCTATTCAATACTGGAAATATGTTTTAAATAGAGTCACATTGACTGTAACTTGGGGATATGATGACCCAACATTATTTCGTGGGGGAGGAAGAAATATAAAATCAGGATCCAAACTTCGATTCTTCAAAAATAGAAGGGAAGGTGATATGATGGGAAGAAAAGTCGAAATTCGATTGATTTACTCATTATAATTTTTACTTCAACATTGCTTCCATTTTGATTTAATATGATGATTATTCAGTATAGTGTTTGTTTTGTTTTCCCGTATGATATTTTATTCTGCATAATATACGATATTCTTGTATTTAATCGACAAGACATATCGGTGGCGACGGAGTTAAAAAAAGAACCAAGGTCAGCTAGTAATTGGACGAAAATCAGTGTAATTATTTCTGACAATCCGTATAGAGATTTATCATCATCGTCGTTGTGTTTTGGGGGTCAATAAACCAGTAACCCCATTAATTGTATACTTTCAATGAGAAGTTAGAGATTAGAATATGCATTCAGATTTTTCCCTAAATTTTATTGTTTTCACTTTAAAGGGAACAGTACAAACTCTTACAGCTTTTAACATTAATACCAATAATTTTGCTTAGATGAATGACAGAAATTCATTTAGGTTGAATATTGATTTTAAGTCAAAAATTAAAACTTCTTTTAATATTTAATGTTTCTTAACTATTTTCATATAAGCATCTCTCTTGTTTCAGTACTATGGAGATAAATATGTTTTTAAGAATGAAACACAAAACGAATATAAGCAAAGATGGATAGCGGCTAGCAGTGGAATCTAGGACGCGAGTTTCGTCCCATTTGGGACTTGTCAGTTGAATGTACTTACATCTCAGAGTTGATGTTTACTCTGGGACTCGAACTCAGTACCATTCGCTTCAAACGCCATCGCGTTATCCATTCAGCTACTGAGTCCTGATAGCCACTTGTTTTCGCTCCCTGGATTCCACTGATAACCACTACCCATCTCTGTTTATAAAGCTTGTGAATTAAGGTAGTATTGAGGCAATACGGACAGTATGCACATATACCAATAACAGACTGATCAATTGCAGTCTTAAACTTCAATGGGAAGATTCAAGCAAAACAATACTAAGTGAACAAGATGAATATATTTACAAACAATCGATGAATATAAACGTATAGGATTAGTATCAAGAAGGTATAAAACTATGTCTAATTAGATTGATATTAAAGATATAAAGGTTACACAAAATAAAAAAAGTCAACAATTTTACTATTTAATTGTAAGAGATCCCTTATTAATAATCACCATGTGAAAAGATGCTTCACGGTTTAAAAATCAATTTATTTGTACTAATTTTATTTGAGAATGAATTATCAATTATTGTTTTACGAATCACACAAAAGAATACAAAGGTATTTCATTGATAAATTATGTAAATAATGATAATATGTTTATGACGGATGTTGCCATTTTAGTGTTGAACTTAAATTAAAAAAAGGAAATGAATATGCTTGAAGTTTAAATCTCAAGTTTATTTGACCATGAAGATGTTCATTAACTAGACTTGGTATTACGAAAATTGATGCTTACATGATTAAACAACATACTTAAAACTCCAAGAGATCAATGTAAATAGTGTTAGCTTTTGTTGTTAGGCGGCTAAAATATCACATGGATCAATGTTTACAGATTGATGAGCTATTGCTTAACAGTAACATCTTGAAATTAAAAAAATAGCAGTCACATTCGTCACTACCAAAAATGTGACCTTAAATGACCATAAGGCTACTCAGCTAGTTAATGTAATGTTTGCTACCTAAACGTAATTAACCTTTTTATGCAGTTGTGACCATAAATATCGTGTGCACTACTTGTACGGACAGATTTAAGTAGTATGAATTGAGAACCGAAAGTAGAGTTCTTACGAACAGAAGAGAAAAGTGAAGAGAAGGAAAAGTAAAACAGAAGGCAATTAAAATAACAACAGGGATGAAAGGAAAAACTCAAGGAAGATATGCATATAGTGTATTGAATGTATTGTTTTCATATTTTACATGTTCAGTGTGTGGTTTGAAACATCATCTGTGATCAAGTAATCATTCACAAAGTACCACTCAAAATGATTTGAAATCCTCACTTATAATCGCAATTTAAACTTTAAAATAAGTAATAATCAACGAGACATGGCTGAGAACAGCATCAATGTTCCAGTCATATTTATGAATTGTATGTTTTATTTTTAGGTTTGATCAATGCCTTTCGTTGTATTGTTGAAGGTGATCTACTTGATAAACATATTTATGGAATCTTGAAGAATCACATAATGTTTTAAAGCACTGGAATGTGAATATTTTGGCAGTCTGTACTCTTTTTACTTGTATTTGGAAATCAGCAATTGACAACAATCGAAAAAATAATAATTTCTCATTTGACAGACAACCATATAGATTTATGTTGAATTGTTTAGGTGTAAGAATCAGCTAATAAAGTACTAAGTATAAATCATACTTCAAGAAATTGATAATTTAAAGCAAAAATAATATATTTTTAAACAAAGTTTTAAACGCTCTTTTGATATCGATCGTTGTAGAACTGTCGAAGTGATCTTATTCCTCTCGTTATACATGGTAACTCAAGTAAGAATGATAAAATTCACTGAGAAATAATGTCTGTCATAAATAAACTGGTACATAAAATGATAGTCTTTACAGATGCAGTAGTATTTCATCGATTTATTGTCACACATAATTGGATGAACGAAACAAAAAGCCTTTGTTTGAAATTATTTTAAATTCCCTGAAACAAGCTTTAGCCTTCTTCTTCTTCTTCTTCTTCTTCAGTAGTAGACTTTATGTCAGACTATGCCCGAACTGTAATTTTTCAAACTTTTGCAAAGAATTTCACAAATATTACGTAAAACAACAACAGTGTTAATGACAATTAACAGAAGGCTTTGGTTTAAAATTGATTTGTTGTTAGTACGTTTTAACAAGATCTATTCGCAATTATGAGGAAACCGTAAACCCCTCTTTTGACTGGAACCAAATATTCCAGTCGGACATGTTATTTCTACAGTAATCGAAATATCTACACTTAATAGTACCCTATTTCATGATGTCTGGTCATCTGTATCGATAGATTTTGAAAAGATGATAGAAAATCGCAAGACCTTTATTCAAACACCGTACGATGGAAATACTAACTAGACATTACAGTTTACTGAGGATTTTAACATAAATATGAAAAGTTTCGAGTATCAGGCAAACAAAAAATGTATTCTGTATTAATAAATATCAAATTTTAAAGTGGCAAACACATTTTACTATAGAAACACTCACCTTACAATAAAATCACAATCTGTATGTAACATGATATTACGCTCATTTATTACATGTTCCTCTTGTTTTGTTTCAATAATATGCTGTTTCCTCATCTTTTTTAAAGCATATGTTTTTGTCTTATCACTTCCTATACTTACCTGTAGATTATGCAGAAAATATAAATCAACGAGATTAACAGATGAAAAAAAGTATGAACAAAAGTTATTTCGAACTTTCGTCTAAATTTGATTGAATAGTTTCACAGTATTTGGGCGCCGATTTGATATGAGACATTAAAGAGGGAGAACGTATTTGTAAAATCTTAGCAAAAGAATTTAAAGTAAATCGAACGTTTCGCCTGGCAATCTGATCCAAGCTTTTTCGTTTATAATAAATCGTGATAAATCGATTTAGGATTAAAGAGAGATTTATTCATCTGAAATCGTTTAAAGGTGTCCATAAAACTAATTTTGTTTACTGTTCAGCCTGTAAACTTTCTAACACAAAGTAATCTTAAACTACTCATATGATCATTTTAGATGAGTGCAAGTATCGTAGTTTTTGACACTTCAGTACATTGTATGGATGTTTCCAAAGGTGAACAGTTTGTTTACATGATAATAAACAATATAATTCTCTTGTTCACTAAAGGTTTATCACTGAATACTTGTGTTCTGTCTTTTTCATACAGTGTTACAAACTGTCATCTTTATACTAAATACTATGCAGTAACTTAACTAATGGCTGTATTGCACCTTAAGATTTGGACAAAATGTGTTCGTATTCTGAGAATGATGATTTTATGGATCTCAGCTATACATCAAGCTGGACACAACCCAAATATCTCAGTGGTAACATATCTGATTATGATATTGACTGAAATAGGTACAGACCACAAAGCAATTATTAGTTTCCCCATGATTGTAAATACATCTTGCTGAAACGTATCAACTATAAGGCAATTTCGGACTTGAACTTTGTGCTAATTATGTTCAACCGCTTATGAGTTATTTAAATCAAAACAAATTTCTATTAAACTAGAAAGAAATCACATGCAACTGGAAAATATGTGAAATAAAACGTCAAATAAAAAAGTGGTCTATTAAGTTTGCATAAATCCTCTAAATGCATTTCATATTGCTTACGAGCTCAACACGACCAAAACCTCCAGAACCCAAAGTAGACATAATTTTTAGATCTTGAAATTGTAAGTTTTGAAATTCTGGCTTATATTCTTCAATTCTGAAAGAAGTGTTAAAATAACACAATAGACAGTGCCTTCATTCACTCTGAATAATAATAATAATAATAATAACAATTAACCGGAACATATGATTATATAAATCTTTAGATTCATCAACACAAACTGGGAGTTCAGGGTTGATGGCAGTATTATGTTGGCGATTATGGATATAGATTTTATGATAATTGACATTGGTTGGGAAAGTAATGACGTTGTTCAGGGAGAACTGGCAATCGAATATAATTGGTAGATTTTTGCACGAACTAAGAACTAGATTAGATAGTATGGGTCAGTATACAGAGACTAATTCGTGTAGATTGTGAACGATTGAGAGTTAAAAGTTAAAAGTGGATTGTATTACTTGATTTGCTTCGAAATTTACCATTTTTTCTTAATTATCACATTTAAGAATGCCAATGGTATCTAATTGTAATATGAAGAAAACCGATCTCATCGACTGTTTGTTATCTTATTGAAATTATCTTAAATTGTCTAGTTTAACTATTTGATAATGATGAGATTGTGTTTTAGTTGGATTTAGATATTACCATAAAGTTCACTACTCTACTTAATATAAACCGATTGATCTCTATTAGTTTGTTATGTTCAAGTAATATGTGCGCAAATACTCAACGACCTTCTGAAAAACTACTGAATGATACTGAAGTATTCCAGTCTTGTAGCTTGAATATGAATATTTTGTAAGGTTCACTTATTATTCAACAGCAGTTATAGTAGATTAAATATTACAATACAGGGATATAATTTATTTGATATATGAGAGTGAAGTTTTGAGTTGGTTGGTGAATTTAACAGTATATATATTCAGAAAACTGTTTCAGCAGTACGTTATATACATATATTTATTACTAATATCAAAATGAACTGCCAAAACGACTGGAAAATTTTTGTTTTAAATGAACTGGTTATGATGCTGCCTGATGGCAACCTAATCACTGTCCTCAATTTGTGGACAAGTCTTGATAACTGTTCTGCCTCTTACATATATCTTGAGCTTGTTACCAGTGTATACGGCATGAATAATTAAGGACGATTCCTTGATTTGATTTGTACATCTGGTATATCGTGGTTACTTCACAACTTCGGAGTTTTTTTACAAACATATATGAAGGATAGGAAGAAGAGAGGAATTGCGTGAGTTGGATCACTAAACATTCAGTCACTAAGTTGTAGGTCTGGATCCAGATCCGCTTATTTCCACTTAACTTACAGGATTTCATAATTGCCTTTCTTCTAATGAAGTCTGGCTTAAGGTAAAGTGCACGAAGATGAACTTGGTTACCAAGTTGAAGTGGATTGTAAAAGAATTTATAACCATTTGTAAAAGCCACTAGATAGTGTAAAATAAATTGACATGTATGAAGAGAGTTATATTCAATGAAATTAATAACTGAACGAAGGAAAACATTTTAAAGTGCCTTTCACCTATATTTAGCTATGAATATTATAGCAATCAAATTGTTCTCGTCCTTAAAACGTAAGAGGATGATGGAGACTAGTTTATATTGCAGATATTAGCTAGGGAATTATTGGAAAGCACTGAGGACTAAACAGATACTTCATCTTAGTGTGGAAATGTTCGACAGCTCGTAGACATGATCCAATATGTAATCGAGCTCAGAATATTAAACCTCTTAGCCAGCTCGTTACATTTGTACAGACAACTTTATTCAAGTCACGATATTGAGCGACCAAAATTCGATTGGATTTGTGGGAGACTGTTCTCTACCTGTTTCGTTCAAACTCCAACCAATCATGACTTGTCATTAGAACTTGGAAGTATTCTGAAACCCAAACAACTGTGAAAGTTATTGGGGTGTCCTTATCTTAGAAGAAGTATCAGTTCTGTGCTCTAGATGGTGTCAATCCATAAATAAAATCTATCTATAAATTAAAATTTAGTTTAGAGCTTGAACGTTTTCTTCAATTCTGACTGTAAATCAGGAAAAATAAAAGAAGTATTCGTCGTAACCATTATTGTGAACAACACAAAACGTTTAATTAATGAATAATAATAGATGCATTGTAATTAAAATTATTCTAAATCATTGTACGTATATTGTAAATAAATTCGCAATAAGGAACTATGTATATTGATAAGCAAAAATGCACATATGCCAATAAGAGTTTGATCAATTGCAGTGCTAAACACCAATGGGAAGATTCAAGTAAACAATACCAAGTGAATTTATGTATGTTGATGTTATATATTACAAATATATTGATGTATGTGGTAAAATAACTACCGCTCTGAGATCATTAACCAGTATTACAAGTATAACACATATGTGTCGCTTCAACATCTTTCTACAATATCATCTCTTTAATTAAGTTGCTGAGAAACTGTCAAAAGTCAATTCATTTATTATCCTGTGAACTTTATGATTAAAACTTTGTTTAAAATTTCATAAGCTATGAGAAAACGTACGTAGTTTCTTGCGGTTTTTCTTGTGAATATCGCCTTTTTAATGCAGCCAAATCAGCAATCAAAAGGCTATATGACCTAAGAATAAAAAGGAATTGATAAACAATTAATTTTATTGACTTTGAGAAAAATACTATTCAGTAAAATGGAAAGTAGTCAAATATTTCACTATCAAAATGCATTACTTCACGAAGCGTTAACCACAGTCGGCTGAAGAAAATGATTTTAGTTGCTATTTTAGAATTTTCAGTCTACAATAACTCAAGCTCAGCACCTTGGGAGATGTGAATCTGTAACTGACGTCTATGAGCAACATATTATATATTCTTCAGTGTTTATTAAGTTTCTCTACCATTCAGTGCTGAGAGTGGGCCAGAGGGGCAGCCAGAAGAATGAGTCTCGCTCGTGAGTTATTTGTTTTCATTAAACCATTTCTCCAAACTTCATAGTAGTTGTATTGTATAAAACAAATGAGCTAGTCAAACTGAGTTAATGTAAACAATTTAAGTTAACTTTCTGATTCAACGACAGAGATCATGAGATGTTAAATCATTTTCATAATAAATAAACCGCAAATTTTTGTGAACATCAAAAAGATGACTGTACCTAGTTTTTTTCAATTCACCTACTCTGCTGAAATCGATGTTGACTGGTTGTGAATAGTACTTAATGATTACTATTTCAAAGAAAAGAGCGTAATTTATAAGCATTTTGGAATAGCTTTTCTTATTAGAAATTAATCTTTGACACAACCGATGAATTACAAAGAGTGCTGTTAAAAATAAAAGGTTTCAAAGAATTTTGAGTTGTCTAAAACCGAATAGCACTATATATGTGTTTCTCGTCATTTCTTCCTGACCATTCAGAATCGTGCGACTATGATTCTACACAAGACTGGACCTAAGACCCTCAAATTTTGTGTTGAGTACGACAACGGTATACTGAACCATTTAAAAAATTGTTTATTCTAATAATTCTATATTTTTCGTAGTATTCAAAATCTCATCTATTTGTTCACTTGCCGAATAGAGAAATTAGTCACCCTGAGAAATTTATCTTAACAGACAAACCACTGATTTGTTATTCAATATAATGGATATTAATCTAAACATAGAGTTTGAACAAATTTTATCTTGAAAATTTAATGTATGAGACTTACTCCAAATCCAAAGCTAAACATGTTACCCCTTCATCTCCAGTTGCAATAATATTGGCCGTTCGTAAGTTGTCACTAAATTAAAGAATAAAAATGGAAGTAATCATTTTATGGATTAAGTTAAATGCTAATTAATGAACACTAGGAGTATTTCATATTGAAGTATTGTGTGGTTTTCAGTTGGAATATTGTATGAGAGACCAACTTCTGTTCGAAATGTTGTGCAGGAAAACAATGAATGGTTCACATTTAAGCCGTGTAGCTCAGAGAATGTAACGAAACTTATATTCATATCAACAAAACTTACATACAATGATCTAGAGTTATCATGTTAAAGAATTCGTTTTACTCAGTGCTTTTTGTGCTACAAACCACTGGTAGCTATGTATACAGTAACGGTAATATTCAGTTTATCAAATTAGTAATAATTAGCAACCGATTCATTGTGAGAGAAAAAAAAGTTAGTCACTGCCTTCATGAACATGAAATTACCCAGTTAATGCTTTTTCACCAAACCAATCTCCTCTACCTAGTGTACGTACAAACTGAGGCTCTTTTGTACGATCAATTACTCCATTCTCTGTTGTTGGATAAATGGTCACCTTCACATGACCATCGGCAATTATGTAGAAATTGTCACCTCTTGCACCTTGACGTATTATATATTCATTTGGACGATAAGTAACTTCATTCAGTTGATCTGCTAATTTGGATATTGTACTATCTGGTAAATTACTAAATGTTGGTACACTAAAACAAAAGAAAAAGTTAAGAAATGAAGGTCAATTTAATGAAATTGATTTCGTAGTGGAAAACTGGAACTTAAATAGTTTATAAGTAATACGACCTATTCCAAAAGTGGGAGAATAATTTACTATTAAAATGTATTCACATTAAAAATATCAAGTATCTTATATCAAAGAAAACTGAAAAGTACATTTGTAACTAAAGAAAAAGCATTTGTTTCCGCATTATAACAACATTGAATAAATTTAGTATTATTTCCATAGTTATAGCAAAGAATGTAATTCGTGCTAGAAATTTTGTCGATAAACCTCAAATATAAAAATCATGAACTATTTCGAAACTGAATGAATGAAAATGTAATAAAAAATAAAACCAAAATTCTACATAGATACATTACACTTTTCTCATTTGAAATATATGGTTTTCGAAAGACATATATTCGGGCTACTGACGATCCCAAGTCCAGGTAAAAGAAGGAGGGTTGGACATGGAGTAGGCAACCCCATCCTGTAGAAAATAACCTTGCTAAAATGCGCTAACAAGAATAAACATACTAATCCATGTAAACTTTGGCCTGGAGGTTGAAGGAAAAATTATGATACTTCATGATGTAAGCCGAGATTCTTCGAAAGTCATGAGGGCGTTGCCTCTTCTAACAAACAGAGAAACCATTAATATAGGTAGATGGAATGTTCGGAAAATGTAGGAAACCGGGAGGACCAATCATATAGTTGAGGAAATGAGGAGATACTACTTGGTGGTTTTCGGAACCAGTGAAACTCATTGGACCCAAGCTGGATAGAAAAAGTTAGATTCGAATGGATACTTATAAACTCTGGTTACGAATAGGACAATGCTCCGGAGAGACCGGTCATGGCAAAGGAGGAAAGCCAATCACCGAGATTCAAGAACGGAGGAACAGATGGGTAGAATACTTTGAGGAACTTTTGAATAGACCAACTCAACTGAACCCACTGGACATCGAAGCAACACCTACAGACCTCCATATCGATGTCACTCCACCAATAATCGAAGAAATCAGGATGACCATCAGAAAAATCAAGAGTGGGATGCCAACAGGACCTAACAATATTTCAGCTGATGTAATGAAGTCAGACATAGAAATAACTGCGAACATGCTTCACACTCTATTCAGGAAGATTTGCGAGGAAGAACAAGTGCCGATGGCCTGGAAAGAATGATACCTCATCAAGATACTTTAGTGGCTTTGGATCTGACTTCAGTAATATCGTATGAATGATTGTTATTGATAATATACATATCGTCAATCCTCGTAGAATATTATCGACTTAACTCGGTCGTACACAGACCGAATCGCGACACTACGGATCGTCGTTGAACAATCAGTTGAATGAAACTCTTCATTATACATCAACTTCCTTGATTATGAGAAAGCATTTGACAATGTGGAGCCTTCTTCGACTCTATGATGTACCTGAGAAGATCGCCAATTTCATACGGAATTCATACGACGGATTACACTGCAAAGTCGTTCATGGAAGACATCTGACAGACGCATTCCATGTAAGGACAGGAATCAGACAAGGCTGTCTACTCTCATACTTTCTCTTTCTTTTAGTGGTTGACTGAACCATGAAAGCCTCGACATCTGAGGGGAAGCACAGAATACAATTGACAGGCTGTATGTGGCTAGATGATTTCGACTTCGCAGATGACCTGGCTCTTCTATCCCATAACACGAGCAAAAGCATGTAAAGACAGCTAGTGTAGCGGCAGTAAGCTTCAACATACACAAAGGAAAAGCCATGATCCCCAAATACAACACAAAGAACAATAACCCAATCACTTTTGGTGGAGAACCTCTGGAAAATGCGCAAACAATCGCGTATCTGAGTAACATCATCAATGAACGTGGAGATCTGATTCAGACGTAAAGGTGAGGATTGGCAAAGCGACGACAGCATTCCTGCAGTTGGAGAACAACTGTCAATCAACATCAAAGTCACAATCTTTAATACGAACGTCAAGACAGTCCTACTGTATGGATCTGAAACGTGGAGAACTACTACAACAATCATCAAAAAGACACAAGTATTTATAAGCAGTTATCTATGCAAGATACTCAATATCCGTTGACCAGATACGAACAGCAACAGCCTACTGTGGGAGAGAACGGACCAGCTTCCAACTGAAGCGGAAATAAGGAAAAGACGTTGGAGGTGGATAGGATATTCGTTGCGGAAATCACCAAACTGCATCATGAGGCAAACGCTAACTTGGGATCCTGAAGGGAAAAGTAAGAGCGGAAGACCAAAGAACACACTGCACTGGGAATCGGAAGCAGACATGAATAGGGTGAATAGCAAATGGAAAGAATGAGAAGGGATTTCCCAGGACTGAGTTGGATAGAGAGTGCTGTTGAGCGGCCTATGCTCCTCCATGAGGGGTAACAGACGTAAGTATATTCGGAGATATACTCATCATATGTTAAAATTATCCCATAATACTTTGTTCAAAAAATTACACTATATTATGGAAAGGGTCAAGTGATCATACATCAAACACATTCAGTACCGTTTTGTTGTCAGTACTGTATGACTGTATCACATGTTGAGTAAATATACTTCTGTTTTAAAGATAACAGGGTGTGAGCTGGCAAAACGTACAATATAATTTGGTAAATTAATATATACACTTTTCATTAAATTGGCTGAAAATAGTCTTTAATGTTAATTCTAATCTTAGTTTTAGATGTAGTACATTGCTGATAAAAGTGGAGTATGCAACTCGACACAGAATGAAATTCGATTTCTCCAAACTGGAAAAGTTTGACCAGCCTTTTGAATACTGATGGGTTGTTCATACCATATTATCAGCTTTTTATTATGAGCGCTGAAATTCATAATCGTATAGTAATTTTCTCCTTTTTAAATACAACAGGATTAAGGTATATTCTTCTGGTCACCGTATAACCTGAGGATGAATTATCTAATCTCACATGACAGTTTCAAGATAAACATAACCTACTTATAAGTAGCTAATCAAAAAATTCAAAACATTTGTTGTAACATTGGTAGTTTCTACTGTATGCTCATCAACAGATAGAAAATCGGATAAGCATTATGTTCATATATTGACGAGAACAGTAAATTATAAAATCTTGAACTTTATGTCTTACTAACAATATGCTGAGCACAACACAGTAATAAAACAAAAGTAATTTTGATTATCTACTAAAGAAGTTTATAACTGAGGACGATAATAGTATAAATTCAGACAAAAATCTTTGATCATTCTGGAACATGACTTATGAATGTTCCATACAACGCCTAGAATAATAAACCTTTATTTTGTATTTCAGAGTAGAAATCTTAAAAAACAAAACATTCTATAGACGATTTGAAGATGATCATGATAACTCTTTGAACTTAAACTGTTGTTACTAAACGTTTTGAGGGGAAACAAAGCTTTTCTTGATCCCATAAAAAGGATCAAATTTTTTCATATAGATAATAGGTTCTAAACCATAATCAAAATATCTAACTTATTCTTTTGATAGAGTCTTCTATTAAATTAAGATAATGCAAGCCCTTGACTTAAACTACTAGTCCCGTATCAAATATAAAAAATTCATTTTGATTAAGAGATCATACTTATATTCCTATCTGACCACACAATTCTGAATCCCTAACTTATGGTGAATTAGTTTTCATCCAAGCAGAGGAAGAAATCAGGGAGAAGCGCTGGAAGTGGGTAGGACACACATTGAGGAAAGCGCCCAACTGCATCACAAGACAAGCCCTCACATAGGATTCTCAAGGCCAAAGGAAAAGAAGAAGACCAAAGAACACATTAGACCGAGAAATGGAGACAGAGATGGAAAGAATAAATAAAAATTGGATAGAACTAGAGAGAGAGGCTCAGGACGGAGTGGATTTGAGAATGCTGGTCTATGACGGCCTATGCTCCATTGGAAATAACAGGATTAAGTAAGTATAAGTAACATATGTTGAAACGCAGATTGTTCTCATAGACTAAGACAGTATATTTACTATCTGAGTGGTAGATCACATTTGAATACAACAGTAAATTAATTAATGACTATAAATTTACATTATATTCCTTAAAATTAATTTATCATCATTCGCTAAGTAAATGAGTATGGATGTATGATGTCTTATATGATTGAATACTGTTTTCTTTCTTTTTAAAACAAACAGAATACTTCACAATTTAGGTCAATTAGTGAATAAATCATTGATGCACTTGAACATGTTTAATGATACTTTCAGTATTAAAGTGTTACTAACAAATTAGCAAAATAGAGTTAATATGGTTTTATTTGGATTAGTTGATTACAACTGGAACGACTTCTTAGTAAAAAACGTTTTGTAAAAGATTTGTCCTTAATAATTTAAATAAATAATTAATTTACGGAGAGAAAAATAAGACACACTTTTGAGATAATGAGGAAGATTTGTAGCTCAGGTGGATGATTTTGATAGAGTTTTGTTCTGTGAGTTGGATGGTTTGATCATGAGGCTTTTATCGTTCTTCTGAACGACATCATCAGCCCAAACTTCATGTAGAAACGTTGTTTCAGTGTAATTTGATTGAATGTTCAAATACCAATAGCCGTTCTAGAATCACACATAAAACATTAAGTAGGCTTCCATTTTGAGCTGATAACCGATAAAAAACCGCTTAGTCCAGAAAGCGTTGGACAAATGTTTCGTTCTAGTACAAGACTATTAAATACAACTCATTTCCTAATCTGTGCAGAATCAGTTACCACAAAATTCATGGCTTAATTCAACAATCGGGTCAGAATCTAATCCTACATTTGCTAACTATAGTCGAGTAACTTTAAGCTATCCTTTTAGGTAACTTAGTTAACCCTTCTTCAAGTTGTTTATAAGACATAGACACAAATGAAAATCTTATGCTAGTTTATTTACTTAATATGGGCTACGTTACTAATGGCCTTGTGTAAACACCAACAAATAGGCCTCTATGGAATTCAAACGTTGGTTAGTTATGTGAAAACCACCGTTTGTTAGTCTATAGATTTTTCATGTTCCACATACCTCTCTTGATAAATATTTCTGCTTTTCAAAGTGTATTTTTCATAGCTTTAAGATCCCATTTTTACAGTGGTGTAATGAATGGCGTATATTACTGGTATTTCTATGAATAAAAATACTCGACACGTTTTACATTGTTTGACAAATGAAAGTCGGTTTTCTAAAGTAATCTGTCCACTGGTACTAATCATCAGTGTTAATGATTCTATTTGAATGTTGATCTATTTATACACCATACATGCTCATATATAATTAATTTTCTAATGAAACCTCCTAAATCAACAGTCAAAGTTTATTGGAGTTGTCAATTTCTAATAGGACTAATGTTATTATTCCAAATTTTTTTATATATGCTTAATACAAAACAATTACATACTAATCACTAACCTTTTAAGGAATGTTATGTAATCATTGTGTTTTTGTAAATGATCTCTCATTAATATAGTTTGAAATGATGTTCTGTCAATTGCCCAAAGTGTTCCGTTTGTTATAGCTGGAAATAATAATAGACATTTTCTTTTTAATTATAAGTTCTAGATAACTGATAGTTTAGAAATATAATAGTGATTGTTTTCATATCAATTCTATGAATATTTTGTCGTATCTATTCACTGTCAGTAATTTGTAGTGTTTGTTATCGTTGAAATATAATATTTTACAGTTGTATTGTTCAATGTTTTATTTGATACTAAAAAATTATGTTTCCGAATAGCCACTCTCATTATAAAACATTTTGGATAATAGTCAATTATTAGTAAATCATGAACTTGATAACGAAAGAAGTTCTTTATTTTTCAAGACACAATAACAACGTATTATGAAATTTCAGAACTATAGGACATTCTAAATCCACTTGGTATGGTTTACTTGAATCTACCTAATGATGTTTAGGACTGCAATTGATCAGTCTCTGATTGACAAACACGTGGCTGTCAGTACTCAGTAGCTAAGTGAATGACACAATGGTGTTTGAGGCGAACGGTACTGGGTTCGAGTCCCAGAGTGAACATCAATTGTGTGATGAAGGTACATCCAGCCGACGAGTCCCAAATAGGACCAAACGTGCGTCCTGGACTCCACTGCTAACCACTATCCATCTTTACTTATAAATCAGTCTTCCTGAGAAAAGCTATATCAATAGCTATAAATTGGTTATATTACTTCAATATATAAATGATTTCTATGCATATCTGGCTATAATATCATTTTGATTGCATCATGGTATTCATGAAAGTATCTTATATTTTTTAATTACAAAGAATTATTCCGTAATTCTGCATAATCATACTGAAAAAATTATTCCTTAATATTATCATTAGTAATATTAATAAATATAAAATGGGTCTAGGTAATTGACTTTTCTAGGAAACAGTTCATTAGAATGAAACGAAAAATAAATAAATAAGTAACGGAGAAGTGATTAAATGAAACTATGCACTCAAAATGCTTTACTGCATGCATATATACTGAGGTTATGCTTTATACACAAAAATTGTGTGTTGCCACGGTATCTAAATTCTTCTATTTGAACTTATGATTAACAGTTTTTGGTAAGATCTGTTTTTCTAACAGTCAGAATATATACATATCTACTGGTTACTTTCCTCATAGTTCGCAATATTTATTGAGTAATATTCAAAGTGATAGGGTTTTGGTTTACCATGTTCATGTTCATTGAGACTAAATAAAGTGATGTATGAAAATTTTACAACAACCAATTAATACTACTTTTATTAAAAGTAAGATCAAAAAGAAGCTTTCATGGATATTTAAAATGTTGTTTTGTAAAAACGAAAAACAATTTGAATAGTAAATTTATAACTCTATATTACGTCTTTTCCTATTAAGAAATAATCAGTCGAAATAACATTGAAAACTTCAAACAAAGTTGGTAAATATAGGCAAAGATAGATAGCGGTTAGCAGTAGAATCCAGGACTCGGGTTTCATCCTGTTCGGGACTCGTCAGTTAGATTTACATACATCTCAGAGTTGATATTCACTCTGGGACTCGAACCCAGTAGCGTTAGCTACACATAAACCATAGTACAAAAAATATTAATGTGATTAGCGGTGAGTTATCGAATGTTATTTTGAAATTTCGAATTGTTTGTTAGAATAATAATAAATGACTAATGACATCGTTTAAAGAAAAAAACAGTTTTACTTAGTGGATGGGTTGACAGATTACATAATACCTAGTGGAAGAATTAAGAAATCATGGTATATGATCTTATACTGACAGTAGTTATGTACAAAGAAAGACGAGTAAAATTCGAAACAGAAGAATAATAGACCATTCCTCAGTCATTTTCATAGATTCACTATAGTTTTGAATGAGGATGAGATAAGTGATAGAGGTTTTCTTGTGAAAATAATGATTCTGTTCAGTAAGACATCTGGAGATGAAATATGGAGTAAACGTGTACGAAAACCACGTGTCAAACAAGATTTATTTTAATTTAACCACTCTATTAAGTACAGTTTTAATACTCATCTTTGAGTCATGTATTTTGCGTAAGGATTATCACTATGGCCTTGTTAAATTAAATGGGACGAGATTCAAAGGTTTGGCCCAGTGGTTGAAATCTTGAAGCTTTAGCTAATAAACCATCGTTCAACTATGCTGTAAAGCAGACTAAATATGACAGATTACTTGAAATGCTTTATCCATGCACACTTAATATTCCATGCCTATCAACTTAGTGATTGTATAAATCTCAATCGGTTGCAATGATGCTTTTCTTAACCGTGGTTAATAGTGTGAAACATCTCTTCGTCAACTGAGTAATGCAGGTTTTATTATAATATAATTTTAAAATCTATATATTAATGTAGAATCACTAAAATGTAAATGAAAGAATGCATTTTCTTGCTAAATTTCCATTTTATTATAGTCTGTGCTTGTTCCAAAGCCGACATTACAATCAATAATACCATGATTGCAACAGGAATTTTGATGGCTATATGTTTACTTTCTTTGTAAGTAATAATATCTTTCCAAATTTCAGAAAGAAGTAGGGTATGAGAATTTCTCCAAAGACAACTAACAGTTTGTTTCGTTGATCAAGAATTCGACTGGTCGTCATCAATACATGTTTCGTCACTGATCATTATCTATTTTAATTAGTTTTTCACAGAATCTGATTTCTAACCTTTAAGGGTTTTATCATTTCTATTATTAGCATATAGGTGAGAGTTTATATGAGAAAACTGTCTAGATTTCCTGAGGTTACTTATTTTTCAATGTTTCAGCATATAAGAAAAACCATGGTTTGATATCAGTAAATGTATTTGGGAACTTTTGATATATTAACATAGTGTCAGTCACAGCTATTGTTTCGATATTAACGTTACTACTAATTAAGTATGTACCTAACAAGTAATAAATGAAACCTAAAAGGGTACTATATTGATTTACAGGAGTATCTCATAAAATAATAACTCAATACTAACACACATAATTCAAATTATTATCATTCAGATAACTGATCAAAGGCTACAATTAAATAAAAAGGATTTTTATTTTCATTATGTGATTAAAGATTAATATACATGTCATTTTAGTGAATTTATCCTGTTGAAGAAAATGTCTTTATTATTGAGTCCATCATACTTTATTAATATAGTATAGTGTGTTATAGTATAGTATAGTCCCATACTGAGACGAAACGGCCATCCAATGCTTCCAGGTTTTCCATGATGATCTAGTTTCAATTGATTCATGACATCAACTATTAAAACTACTATAATATCTACAAAACCCCTCTCTGTTTATAATTATTTTATTGTTCTGGTCAAAATAAAAGTTAATGTACATTTATCTAATAGTAATAATAATAATAAAATGTTAATGTTTTAAAGATCCCCGTCATATTAAAAGACTCATATTTGAACGAAGAATATTCTTTTCGATAGATTCTCTTCAGGTTTTACAATTCATATATCCAAATTAATAATCCGAAAAATGGCCAGGTTAAGGGCAAAGTACATCGTTCAAAGCATGTGAATTTAGGATTGTGATAAACAAAATACAATAAAATTGTTAATGTTGATATGACTCATATAGAATGTTAACTTGAATCTGCGTCTATGTTAAGTGAAATTTTAAGATCCATGATCAGAATAAATATGGGTCAAATAGGGTGAGAGAGAAATAGTGCGATTACAATTCGATCAAATAAGTTAGACATAATACGGAGGGATGAATGCGAAGTGAATAAATGATGTATAGGGGAGATTAATAAGGATGTTTAACCATTAGTAATAATAATAATAACAATAATAATAATAATAATCGAAAGATTTATGAATAAAGATAACAGAGACAATTACAATTGACTATGAAAGGTTATAGTCAAACTAGGTTATTCAATAGTTAAGATTACGATTGATTAATTAGCCTTGATGTACTTTGCCCTTAAACTGGCCATTTTTCGGATTATTAATTTGGATATATGAATTGTAGAACCTGAAGAGAATTTCTCGAAAAGAATATTCTTCTATCAAATGTTAATCTATCGATTTATTATCATATTCGTTTGATGCATAACAAATAATCCTGTTATTATAATTAATTAACACCAATTTCATTCATATGGACAATTTACAGACGAGAGTCATTCGTTTCTATTAACGCATGTTGAAGTTATGTCTGAATACGTTTGAGTATAGACAGAATAAATTTGATTATCATATAAATGGAAATATCACTTTTAGGCACATTGAATATACATGATACTATATGTTACTATATATATAATATTATAATTGCAATTTATTTGTAGTATGAATATAAAACTGGATTGCCATATTGGGAAAACATGTCATGTATATTTATATATGCATACACATATACACAAATGGAACAATAAGAGTTACATATTTTCTACACATTTAAATACAATAAATGATGACAAGTACTGTAATATCAAGGGCAACATATTTAATTTAATCTTATAATAAATGATAGAATGGGATTTAAGGCAAGTTAAATTACATTCATGAAACTAAGGATTAAGGAATGCATCATTGAACGTAACTTTTATTTAGTTCGGCTACACTTTATTACGTAAATGAAGGATGTATAATGTTGTTTTCTTTTAAAAAATTAAAGATGAAATTGAAAATAATAAAAAAATGACATGTTTCAATGAATAGACTTGTTATGTCCCGATAAGAATAGTGAATGGTAATTTTTGGGATCCATTTATGGACCAATACTATGTGTATATATTTATCGTATAATTGTTAAATAACTAAACTGTTCATATACGTGTACCTCTTATGATAAGCTTTATTTTAACTTGTGAACTATTATTGTACGATTTACCATTCTTGAATTATGCCCTGTCTATTAATTACTACCTCTCACACTCACAGCCACTTTTGGCTTAATCTTGTACAAATGTTGTTTCCTATTTTATGGTATGATGTGGTCTGTCTAGTTGGTATATAAACCCAGCGTGTTTGAAATAAGTGATTCGTATCACAGAGGCTGAGATTGGTGTCCTGGACTTTACAGGCTGGGTTAAGCAGGGAGCAGGACCGATAAGTACTCTAGACTGCTCGCACGGTTTTTATGCGTCATTGGTCCAATCGATAATTCACTGCTCTCTAACTGGAGGTATCACTGCTTTATACATTAACAAGGCACACAGGCCACAAGTTATAACAAAACTAAAAAAATAATCAGTAAGTTGTAAAACACTTCCTGATCCATAATTGTTTTGTTTTTCCTCTTAAGAATAATATATCAAATAAGAAGAAACATCTAGAAACTTTACAAGAGTAATAATCAATTTCTGGTTTGTAAACTACATAAACCTTGTTGATTTAAGAAATCTGGTTGTAATTTCTTAGGTCATTGATACATTGTAGAATAATCTGTTTATGAATTCTATATTTGAGTATTTGCTTAGTTTTGAGTCTGATAAACACATTTTGATAAAGTTGCTTGATTAAACATCCTTCTATATAATGATTACAATGTATTTTTCTTTATCTATCCGTATGTTAGATGTATTACAGTACTGGCTTATGCTAAATCCAGTTTTACTGTTTATCCTGTATTGATTTTGATGACTAGTGCAGAAAGGCAAGGTAACTTGTTCTGATGTTAATTCTGCAACATCAATGACGTTGCTAATTAAAATCGTAGTCAGTTTTTGGGCTAATTTCTTTAGTACTCAAAAATATATCACTGACTTAGAGGGTTCAAAATGTTTTCTCGTCTAATTTCAGGACCAGAACTTATTTTTTAAATAATTCTTTCGAATATGACAGATCATATTAGGGTATCCGTCAATCGTTGATATATTTTATTTAGTTAGGAGGATTTTGTTCAGCACTACTTCATGAGTTAAAATTAAAATATAACATTGAAGCTTGAGATATCTTTATGAGAAGAGAGGATATGGTGTCTTTCACAAATTTTCATTTAGCTGAGACACATAAAACCGCAGTGTTTGTCAGTGCCAATCTGAATCTCCTAGATGTTGATGGTGTAATCCTGAAAGTTGATGAGAGATGCACAATTGACCCATTAGTCCAGAGAAAGGAAGCTCACCTTTATTATCCTCCAGATAGAGAATCTTTGTCACTATTTTAAAGCTATTAGAGCACAAGTTATTCGTAAATTATTTAAGATTTGAGTTATATAATAGTCAAAAATGACTCGTAGATCGTTATTTAAGTGTGAATATCTTTGGTTCAACGAGTAGGACTCATTTTTTGATTGAGATCATGGACCGATTGATGTTAGACCAACTTTGGAAACCTGCAAGGACTGGACGGCCGTTTCGTCCTATCGTGGGATTCCTCAGCAGTGCGCATCTACGATCCCGCTCGCGGGGTTCGAACCCAGGGCCTTCGGTCTCTCGCGCGAACGCTGATCTTATTTACTTGTAAACTCAATATGGTGCACATAACTGAGTTGTTTTAACGTGGGGTGTAACAGCGCTCCACTCATTTCTAGTTTTTATTGATCGAACAGATGCAGTTAGTCCATCACAAAAAGTTTTCTTGTAAAGTAAATTTGTTCATTCAACAGTAAAACAAGAATGTTTAAGATTCTTCGAAAAATGTAAATATGATAAAATTATGGGTAAGGTTAATATCTTTTCGACATCTCCACTAAAATTAAAACAACAGACTTACCCTTAACACTGGCAGTTCGAGTGCAATTATATAAAACAGCTAATTCCCCTAGTACTGTCGGGCGATCTAGCACTCTTAATTTTCGACCATCTTTGGAAATTTCTAGTTGTCCCTCTAAGAATTTAAAATGAAAAATATACAACAAAATGACTAGTAAATGAACACTAAATATGCTTGTGACACAATTTTCAAATAAGATCACGTTCAGTGAACAAAAATGTTAAAGTACTCAATGACAAAGTTTATTTGTGTCTTCAAATATATAAACAGTTTTTTTAAAACTTATAGCCGTGGTAACAAAATGTATCTAGACCTTAAGGCTTTGATGAAAACACTTTTCACCAAGAAATGAGACCAAATGGAGGATCATTGGAAATCAGACAGTGGTTTCAAATCATTTCGTAAACATTGAGATCAGGGCAATCATTTATACACAAAATGTAGTTATGTCGGTCTATGACTCGAGTTGTTTGAAATGATAATTATTGATCGTTTATAACAGTAGTTGAATTACATTGTGTTTAACTTAAGATATGTGTAGTCATTGAATTTCACAAGCGACGAATTCTAAATAAGACGGCACACTTTATGCTTCTTGTTAAGTTCTTTGGTTATTGTCAGTTTCTCTTCAGATTTATTCTCACACTGTTCAAAACTTCCATAAATAGTCTATTGTAATTCACGGTTTTTGGCTTTTCTAATGCTTAATTTTTTAAGAAAATACACGTAAAGGTACCTCCATAAATTTATCTGTTCATTTATTGAATAAAACTATTGATCCTAAGAAACATTAAAGGAAATGTAACAACTAATGAAACATGTTCCTGTCCCAGAGTGAACATCAATTGTGTGATGAAGGTACATCCAGCCGACGAGTCCCAAATAGGACCAAACGTGCGTCCTGGACTCCACTGCTAACCACTATCCATCTTTACTTATAAATCAGTCTTCCTGAGAAAAGCTATATCGATAGCTATAAATTGGTTATATTGCTTCAATATATAAATGATTTCTATGCATATCTGGTTATAATATCATTTTGATTGCATCATAGTATTCATGAAAGTATCTTATATTTTTTAATTACAAAGAGTTATACCATCGACAACTGTCTTAAAACTACTATGGCACGATTCTTTGTAAAAAGAAGATGCACCATATAAATTGGCATCTCTTGTTGATGTAAGATAAGTTGAAGAGTACTAATCAGCTAGAGATTAGAACTAAAATCGGTTGACATCTTTTTTCATTTTTATTAGAAAACAAGTTATGTATAAAAGTTATTGATCCTAAGAAACATTAAAAGAGATATACTAACTAATCCATCACATCACCAAGACTTATAACAAAATTGAAAGTAAGATATTAAAACTTAAGAAGTATGAATTCGTTCATCGGACAAAAATCCAGCGATCTACATTTCCAATTTAGTCAATCTTATGGTGTATGTCAACTTTGTTGTGAATGACAGATCACTGGTAAGTCAATTGCACTAAATGATAATTGGCCAAATACAAAAGGTATCCAATAGATAAGAATTAATCTAGTTCTTCAATCTGAACATTTGTCAGCTTCCTGAAGTAAATTAAACTAGTATTATTTTTTTCAAACTGTTGTTCATTTCTATACAACAAAACTATACTTCTATACGAAACAAGATATTTTATATACAATATATAGTTCGATTTCATTCAATTATTAATAGTGACCTTTTGAATATACCTCTGTTCACTGATTATTCCATATTTAGTCTTAAGGGCAAATAAGGAAAGAACACTTTGATATTAAATGTAAATTACTAAACCCTATTAAAATATCTCTGTATGTATTACGTAGTTTAACAGCATAATAACAGAATACTTCATGTTTATAAAAAGTGAAGCGGAACAACCAGATTAAAGTGTAATATAAAATTTTCTTCAGGTCATGAAATAAAAGATTAGAATACTTTTCTTATAATAAACATCAGTCAATCAAACACAATACTACTAATTCTTTATATGAATCTTGTTTTCTATATACATGCGTCTATCTTTCATAAACTGAAATCGATTGAAAGACGAGAGAACATATATGTCTTACCAATAAACACTTTTGTTTGACTAAAAAGCTGTAAAGTACTGCTGTAACATTAAGTTTTTGTGTAAAATATGTTTAGAGAAATCTAGTCATTGATAAAAGCCTAATTAAGTAATATACTACCGTTTTCGGCTATCATTGTATTCCATTACTTTCAAGATGATGTTATCGACCAGTGAAGTTCATGACTAGATCTTCAGAGCTTTTGGTTACGGAAACGAGAAAGTCATAAGGTTTTACTAGTATTTCAATGTACATGGTGAATTGGTTTTTATCGAGATGAACACCTTTGATAGTTTGATTGCAATCATAAATGGTTTGGAGTATTTTATGTTCACCATACAGTAATATTAACAAGAGAATGAATAGTTAGCAAAGTAATTACTACAACCTAATGATCAAATTGTGTGCAAATAAATCATTTATACAGAATACTGATCGCACCTTGCAAAGCTCATTTAAAAGGTCTTTGACGATAGTTCGAATCTGACAACGAGTACATGTTCTCCTTTTATTGTCTTAATAGTGACGATCAAGCAGTATGAAATTCATTATTAAAACTTGGAGAATAGTGGACGTAAAGTTCAGGAACGTCATCGGCTTTTAAATGGAAAGCAAAACCGTAAAATCCACTAAAACCTGTGAACCTGATTTCTGTATATGATAAAGATATCTACCAAGATTATACCCAGCGAGACAACCTTGGGAACTCTATCAAATTAATGAAATGTCCCTCTTCGAAAGGTTTCTATTTACATTTACGAAATGAAAAGTGGAGTATTTTTGATACCCAGATCGTGGATCTTAACCACTGTAGCTGGTAGGATGCCGCTACTTCAAAATACTTCACAACAATCAATGGGAGAAGATCTATAAACCGATCGCATTTTCTAATGTAGTTAATATCAAAACATTTGTCGGCCTTGTGTCTCCCTGTAGACCACAGCTTTCAACAGTTACTTGTAGAACGTTTTATTTCATACTCTCAATTAGAAGTCAGCTTTTTGTGATGGTAGAGAAAATTTGTAGCTCAGGTGGATTAGTTTGATGGAGTTTTGTTCTCTGAGATGGATGGTTTGATCGTGGAGCTTTCATCGTTCATCTGAACGACATCCACATAAACTTCAGGTAGAAGTGACGTATTCAAATTTCTGCACATATGGCTCACAGCTTGTCCTGTAGACTTCGATGTTGATTGGTTCTTGTCGACCTTAAACCTGCCATTGTCTACTTCTTTATGTTGGCTGTATCTCCCATTGGTTTGATTTTTGGTCCTATGTTTGTCCATGTTTTTTTCTGATTGGTTGATAAATTGGGTTGATTTCAATGTGCTCGATGATTGCTGATTGACCTGAGTGCCAATCTTCTAAAAATTCTCTGGTGTTTTTAGAATAGCCTCTATCCAAGATCCATAAATTTTTCCAGTCGAATGTGTGTTCACAGTTGTCCACATGCACTGACATAAGTAATTCATGGCGTTTCACCGGTACTCAGTGTTCATACATGCGAAAATGAAGAGGGTATCCGCTTTGTCCGATGTAGTGTTTTTAGCAATTGATACAATGACAAAAAAAGGAAAACCGAACATCATCTACAAAATAAACTGTTCCACATAAATCATTTAATTTGTATGAGGGCTGGGATACTGCCTACGTGCTTAAATCAAAGTAGGTGGTTTTCTAAGGGGGCCACACTTCGAGCCTTTGACCTAAAGTTTTAATCCAAACCTGAACTTATAAATGAATTATTTTACTTTTTTGAATGGGAAGGAATATAATCAACTGAAGAGATTGTTCAAAATAAATGGATGCATATTATTTGATTACGAATGATGCCATTGATTAATGAAAGTTTACAAGATAGAAAAACTTCATCAAATATACTGTGAATTCATTAGTCTTCTACATTTATCTCTTTTCAATAAAAATAGTTATGTGCAATGTTATAGATTATCGAATGAACATTCTTGCATTCAATTAAATCATATCTATTCAACTTATAGTTAAAATTAAAGGAAACCCTCCCCTCTTTTAAAATCCTAATAAAATTTTAATGGTTTTAAAGATTTCTTAATTCAGTTAGAATATTGATTTATAGTTTCTAAGTAATTTATTTATAAATAATAAAAAAGAATAAAGATTTAACTGATGTTTTTCTATTAAACAACTTTCTCTTCGTAGTGTATTCTCATTTGGGTTTATTAGAAAATGATGAAGAAAATAAAACAAAAACAAAAAATTTAACATGTAAAATATGTTGCTTTAATATAAATTACAAATGATTTTGTTGTTGTTGGTGTTGTTTAAAGGCTATTTATTCTTAGATGAACTTTAGATATAGATTTCATTTATGTAATTCATTCAATAGTCATGTGTTTTATAATTATGGAAATGTATATAATACAAAAAATAGATAAATGATTTACAATAAGAATAAATATTTTTGTTCAGATTTAACATTTTGTTATAATGATAGTAAAACCATTTAACTTGATTATATCTTTGCATTCACTAGTAATCATCTTTACAATAGATTTCGGATGAGGCTGTAAACTATACAGTCAATACATTCATTGAAGAATAAATTATGTAAGAATTGATCTATATCATAATTTATCTGAATTAGTGGATTATAGGCATTTTAAGAATTATGAGACTTAACGGTCCATGTTGTCTTCTTATGTCAGGTCTTAAAATAGGACAATAATAATTATTGGAAGTTTCAGAGCTAACCGTAGGATAACAGAATGTAAAAAAAAATCAACTTCGAAATAAGTAGATCTTCACTTAAGCTACATATATTAGATTAATTATATTATGATATTTTATCCTAACTACTTGACAGTATTCGAATCATACTTACTTACTTACTCCGCCTGGAGTCCCTCCGAGGGCTGCTGCCGGTTCGAAGCCCGGATAAAGGAGGAGGGTTGGGCATGGGGTTAGCGTCCCTATCCCGTAGAAAACAAACTCGCTAAAAAAACGCTAACCAGAAAAAAATTAGTCGAATCATATGAAATATTATTGATATGGATGAAATCCATGACTGTATCGAATAATTCTTAAAATAGTAATCTAAAGTTTTGTAAAAACTTGTTTAATTAATCAACTGATGATTATTTTCCAAATAACCTGTTGAATAATATTAGAAACAAGTATGTTAATGTTGACAGGATAAATTGAATCATTCACTACGGATTGTGTGTATATAATTATTGGGTTAATTTGTTTCTTCAAATATAAACCATCTATAATGAGTGCCAAATTTTAATTTTATTTCCCTGACGCATTTCGAAAGGAAATGACAAGAAAATTATTTGAACCACTTAATATCACTCATAGATTTCAACAAATACAATTTATATCGAATATCATTAGTACGCAGACCCATTCATTTCTGCTAAAGTTATTTAAATCTGAACTGTTTTATAAAAATCCAAATAGTTTATTCATGTTGTCGACAGATAGTGTTTCTTCAAGTATCTATCTTTTTTCCACTAATTAGGGAATAATGTTTTTTATTTAAATGTCTAGGTGAAATAAGTAGTTATTTAAGTAGTAAATTTTCATTTCTACTCTTTATTCACTCTAACATTACATCATCTAAAGACTCATGAGATACTTCGATACACAGGGATGTTGTTTCACTTTAATTTGAGACACATTGTCCGTTCTCAATTTGATGGAGAAACATGAATTCAACTTCGTGATTCAAAGGTATTGTGATAGCCTGTGTTTTGATCACATTGGAATTAAAAGATGCGCACTTCTGATGATTTCTAAACAAAGTTCAAACAGATTTCTATTGCTCACTAATTTACAATTATTATGTATTTATATAAACTCACAAATAGTTCTTTCCTGAGATAGTATAATACTGTAAATCTATTTCTATGTATCAGTACCAAGGTTTGACTTGATAATTTCGAATAAATTCAGCATTGAGTAGATTTTTATAAATAAAAATAAAATATTTGTAATATCCAAATGAATAGAAAACTAGATTTTCCAACGTTTCGTGACTCAATGTAAGTCACTTCTTCAGAGAATAAATAGCCAAATCAAAAATATTCCGAGTTTAAAACGTCAGAAACGTCAGAATATCTAAAAAGAATTTTTTTCTACTCACTGGGTTACTATAAATATACTTTTTTATTTACTGTGAATCTATTGTTTAGCAAACTAATGACAGTGAAATTGCTTAGCAATAAAATTTAGAAAGAAGGAAGAGGAAAGACAGATATGTTCGTTGTTAAGCCAATTTATAAAAACTGTCTTATTAAAATTGATTTAATGAAAGTATCACAATGTTTAACTTCTCTTTTTTCAGAATATTGTTTTCTAGATTATCGACAGCCATATAGGTGCTCATTTTATTTAGAATATCAATAAATTGTATGTTATACCATACTGACGGATAAATGACCATTTTTAATGAAGCTCTCATATTGAGTGAATCATTATATTTGTTCTAAGCTATTAGTTATATGAGTAGGTCAAATCTTAAGTATTGTATTTAATTGATCTATCTTTAAAGTAAATGCCCATTGAAATACAGGTCAACGAAATAAAAAGCTGTTGACACCATAGTCATTCGTACTGTTTACAACTTAACCCGCAATATCTATAGAGGTTAATTTTCACTGAACAGCATAACAATATACTGCTTAATATATATAGCAAATATAACATTATTATACAAATTACAAGTACATTACATAAAAAGACGTTTAACATACCGCCTAATACATACACTAACGAGCCATAATCGCCTTCAGTAATGATCATTTCACCCGCAGTAAACTCTATGCTGTACATGCAATCGACTAACTGACTCAATTGACTTGATGCGATATGATTCATGAAGTCATTTTCCAGAATAGCACCTTTTATTAATTTACGAACACTGTAGAAAAACAAACGAATTTAAAACAAACAATACAACTATTTTAACTCCGGTTGTTAAAAATTCAACAAACATATTTAATTCACTTATTGAAGTCGGTTTTCAGATTGATTTAATATGAAGACAGTTTTCGTTACAGACTGACATTCGTTGTAGAACAACTGAAAACTACAAAACACTGGTTAGCTTCTTTTTTCATAAAGACCGATTATCAAAAGAACGTATTTTAAAGAATAATCAACTCGAAAAATAATTATCAGCTTTGATGGTGCTTACAAAATTAGCCATAATATCCAAAGTTCAAGAATTTCGGGTTTTAAGGAAAATCTTTTTATGTGGAATGTAGAAGTGAGAATTTTCGAGTATTGTAGATAAAAAAACCATTGAGATTAGGAAACCTAATCTGAATGTGGTTATCTTTGGACAAACCGTAACTAACGTTAGTCTAGCCGAAACAAAGTATTGAATGGATTGCGGTTGTGCCTATTTAATACTCAACGAACCCATATTAAGGCAAGATTTCAAGATATGGGTCCATAAATAATTATGTTAAAGTGTATATGAGGATGTAGAGGTCACGACTAAGATCTCTGAGACAACAAAAGTTAGCGATGGGATGTAGATCATTGAAAATGGTTCAGAATCTATCACGACTTGTTGCAGTTTGAAGTGTTATTGTTAATCAAAATGGTCTCAGCCTCACCTTTTTGAATTTAAGTCGAAATATTTCGGTTACTTTCAATTAAAAATTGTCCATACTCATTACAATTTCATGTAGCTTATGGGAGTTGAATCAATATTTCATTTAGAAATGACACTACAAAAATTCAGAATAGGGCAATTTGTGTGTTGTTAAGTGTTCAGAATTGGGACAAATCTAGTGCTAAATTATCGTCAACATAAGTCATTCCCCCAACGTATAAGGATTATTTAATTTGACTTTGTGAATATATGTCGAATTATCTACAACTTAAAGAATGTTGGTATTAATTACTACAAAAATTTAACAATTCAGATCTGAACTTAATCATTACCAGAGTAAGGTTTATCTAATTACGAATGGTAACAACTATAATCTTGTTCAGCTTAAACTACTTCAGTAGTTTCAAGTTGTTATTATGAATGAAGGAGACTAGATATGTACACCATCTTAATGAAAAATAAATATAAATAGATGAAACTGAATACTTACAACTGAAAACCCAAAATATGAAGCTGTTTTACGATGAGTATCCCTTTATCAGAGAAATAAGGGTTTAATTATGTCAAAAGTGAAATAGTTTTCACTAAGGTGATCAGATAATGATTATACTAAATCACTAATTGCTCAAAGTAGAGGGCATGGACAATTGAGTTTCCATTCATTAGTCTAAAAGTATTGCGAATGCCTTGCGTTCTGAAGGTTTGTGGTCCTATTTCATATAATATGATGAAGTCACAAAAAATGAGAAAAATTATCTGCTCATTGTTTGTTTTTCCATTGTGGTAAATTAGGCAAGTATATTTAGGAGAAGAAAATTACGGAAAACTGAATGCTTCACATTTATTCATTACATAATCTAACCGATTAAGCTAAACCTAATTCCTTTGTTGATAATTGTAAACTTTTGATCTGAACTGAGATGTTATAAGAACAGTTTTAACATTTTGTTTACTAACGATTATCTTATAATTTTTGAACAGACAACAAAGGAACTGTGAAGAAGATTGAGATGACTGAAAACACCTCTGGCCATGAAGATAACTTACACTAGTTTGAATTTGTTAGGATGTATGAGTTCGCTGAAGAAGTTCCATTGACAGGAATCTAAAGGTATCTTATGGATTGTTTTCAACCACTTGTAATAAGTATGAAAATTATCTCGCCATGACCAAAATAGTGCCGTTAAAAGCTCTTTTAAGCAACTGTATAACTGTATGGTCAAAACTGTACAAATTATTCTACTGTTAGTGATGTGCATACCAAATAATTTGTCTTAGTAAATTGGGTTGGACATATTTTATGTAATCTAAGTATTAATTTTCACTTATATTCTCATCTGTTTTTTTATTTCTCCCCATACTTACAAGTTAAATGAATCTACTACTTAAACATCCTCGAAAAGTAATGTTAGTCTTTATTACATTAATTATATTATCCAATTAACAATGTTGTGTAAATCGATCAATAAGTATATTAATTACCTCTCTATAAATATCCGTTAAATAACTGAGTGTTCATTGAAATTGTTGTCGGCTGCGTCAGACATTAAATGACATTGGATTCATTTAGTATTGTTCCTTTGAATCTTCCCATTGATGCTTACGATTTAACATCAGTGAGAGGATTCAGGTAAACAATACTAAGTGAATTTAAGCTTCACTCCATTAGACAAGCAAGTGGCTATTAGGATTAAGTAGCCAAATAGATAACACGATGGTGTTTGAAGCGAACAGTACTAGGTTCAAGTCCCAGGGTGAACGCCAACTCTAATATGCAGGTACATCCAGCAGACGGAACGCGCGTCCTGGATTTCACTGCTAGCCACTATCCATCTTTGATTAAATGACACTGTTGAATAGCATTTCACAACTTCTATAACACTAATATTTATAAGTTTTTGAAGAGAATAAATTACCTCTTATTATCAGAAAAAGCAGTTACTTAAAACATTTCTAAATTTAAGTAAATGTTTATCGATACTTCCCTCTTTACAAACAGAAATCTTTGTGTTTATCTCAATAAAAAAAATCACTTGACAATTTTGATGACAAAAGATTATTTACTATGGGATGTATACCTCTTGATCAATATAGTCGTTTTGATTTATCACATGATTAATTACACTTTCAAATAGCTAGTGACATATTGTTTGTTTGCTTCGATTAATACACACATTAAATGGTGGTATAAAAGCTAAACCATTATATTCTGTCAGGGCATTATTTGTGAATATCAAACTACTTTATTAAGTTGCTGGCATCACAAACCTCAAACATCAATGCAAATACCAAGTATGGGTTCGATGTATTAAGAAAAGGGCTTATTACTAGTGTAATGAATTTAGGGGACATTTTGATATTATTCATTAAATTCGATTCAAAAGCACGAGTACGAAAATAAATCTTTGATTTAGGATACATGAATGTTTTATTTCACTGTATATGTTTTTCAACGTTAACTGATATTAGATGGAAAATCTGAGAAATCCAGGACATAAAGTACTCACTGACTTACTATAGATTCTCTAGATGATATCTGCAACTCGAATAAACCCTTATATAGCTGTGTATGCATTATATTAAACCTTAATGAATATAAAAAAGTGTTATGTCCTATGTTTTGTAACTGAATATTTTATACTATTATGATGAATATGACAGAATTCATGTATTGTTTTATCTTACTTTTTTCAGCATAAGACAATAAACATATGATAATTAAACAAGTTTATAGATATGTGTATTCACGTTTTACATTCTTTTCTTATTTAATGTGACATCTTTTGTTCATTGTTCATAGTATTGATTATTGAGTAATATTTAGTTATGTAATCTGATATTATTAATACATAACGTTAGATACAAATAATTAAGTAAATTAAAATAACATGTGGTGTTTATTGTAAAACTAGTAAATGGTCTCATTTTCATCGAAATTGAATATATAATCCGTGTGTATGTGATATCATCAAAATTTATATATATACCATATTTTGTTTAAATGAACACACTGCAAACTTTGATGAAAGTGCTTTCATCCTGAATTTTGTTACCACGGTGATTAGTCCAAAGACTTTAACAGCTTAGATAGATACCAAATAATAAAGAAATTCATTCACTTTGTAAATTGAACTGACACATATAACCAATTAACAACAATTAACATTCATGTAACCTCAGATTAAGTAAGTCAAGTGGCAGCTTAATCATTTGTGGTGCTAAGCAGTGTGGACCTAAATCTCAGAAGGCTCATTAATACCATCGGAATTGTCAGCAGCTAATGATCTGAAACAGATGCATAAGGGTTGCCTGTTAATTACCAGCACGCAAATGTCAACACAAACTTAGATATCTTATTATGGTCACGTTGTTGAGGTGATTAAACGAATTTCACCAGGACGAAAGACAATAATATACGACAATCGGCAATCAGTTTCTTGTGTTTGGTGGTTCAACCTTACACTTATTAACTCATACATCATACATATGTACTTATGATTTCGAAGTGGAATGTGTTTCACTCGATGATGAATATATTTATATTGGAAAAAGTGGCATAAACAATCTTGGAAGTGGGACATTATATACCTGTTCGTATTCATATCGCTTTAGGTGGCATTAATTAACAAAATAAATGAACGACAGGTGAAGATTATCCTGTAGAAGATAGAAAATTAAATCGTAGGAAGGAATACGACCAGTTCAAACGAATAGGCTTGGAAAATGAGTACCACGAAACAATATGGTTAAAAATTTTAAAAATAAGCAATATTTGTCAGTACCATTGAGGTCTATCCATTCCTTTTAAAGTATTCCATCATAGATTACTATTGTTTTGAGAACCCTAATCACGAAGACTATCAGTTATCAGAGTGCATTTTAATACCGATTGATTTCATTTACTAATACCTTCTAATATTTTTCTAGCATGCAATTCATTGTACATTCGTTCATGTGAATAAAAGTTTTAAAATCCAACTATTGACTTGCTGTAAATACTGAACTCTGTATTGAGTGAATTGGCGGTTATTGTAATAGACTCTTGATAAGCAGAGTAATATTTCTTAGTTACTATTTATTTTTTTAAATTTTATTTCGTTACAAATTAACACCAGCCAACAAACTAAGTAGATTAAACACCCATGTTGAACTAGAAAAAGACTATTCGTACCCACACTACCTACATAAATCAAGCATAGAACCCAAGTGTGCCGATTAATTTTAAGCAGGCTAGTTGAAATAGAATGATCCATATTTTCAATTGTTATCAATTTGTGTTAAAAGCCAACTTTAATATGAACTATTCCCCATAAATTCACCTCGTATTGTTTACTTGAATCTTCCCATTGATCTTTAGGACTGCAATTCGTCAGTCTCTTATTGGCATATGTGCATACTGCGCGTATTGGCTCAATATTACCTTAATTCACAAGCATTATAAACAATCATGAATAGTGACTAGCAATGAAATCCAGGATGCGCGTTTCGTCCTATTTAAGACTCGTCAGATAGATACACCTGCATCTCAGAGTTGATGTTCATTCCATAAATCTTTCAATCAAACGATGATCCCGTGTTTAGTAATAACAATATATGAGATAATTTTTATCAGTTTCAGTTAAAATTCGAGTTTATTTCAGCTTAATTTTGTAGCGTAATTATTCAACAAAAAAATTGGTTAATATCGTACTAATAATGATATAAATCGACTAGATTTGAAAATGTAAACTAAAACTAACATACTAGCCATATAATCTGTAAATAGATTTTTGTTATAATAATAAGTGTGCATATACTGAGAAGTCTTGTAGTACATAAAAAAGGAGCATCTATTTATTATTCCATAATTTTCAATGATTTAATTGTTGAGATCATGAGTTAATTAAAGTTAGATCACCATAGAAAACCTAAAAGCACTGGACAACTGTTTCATGCTAAATAATGGGACTTTACGAAATCCTTTCTCATACTAATAATTTAATAGTTTATTCCATATGAAAATATAATAAAAATCAACTTCAATAATTAACCAATGAAATTAATTTATATTATTATTTATAATTTTATTTTTATTATAAATCAATAAATTGGACAAATGGTGTATGTTTTCATGAAATCATTAATGTTTTTGCAACAAAATAATAATAATAATAATAATAATTTAGTGATTTATTACTTATTGATTATAGATTGTGTACAAAAGTTTATTAAAACTAAAATGAAACTATTAACGATTAAGTTTTGACTGTTATTTGAAATTTCTCTCTTTTTTGAGAGAGAGAGAGAGAGCGAGAGGGAGAGAGAAATAAATAAACAAACAAACAAATAAATAAATAAACAAGCCATTCAAATCAGAATGGTAGTCAATTTATTGTGTCAAATTAAAATATTGTTTATTTATTATTAGTAACATTGACTTTTTCTATTGCTTTACGAATAATGATTCACGTGATAAGTAAATAAAATATAAAACTAGTTCTTATTTCTTGTTACATAACCATTTACATGGTGTATTCATATTTGTGATAATGGTGATATTCATTTGAATGTATCTTACAATCTAACAATAGTCAGCTGATACCTTATTTTCATTTATGATAAATGGCACATATAGACATGTCAATCATATTGATCTTTTGGACCTAATATGACCTCAGTCTGATTGAAAAAAGTCTGATATGTTACTTTGCGTTTCCAATTATTTCTGATATTTTATAATAACACAGTGTTAACGATGCTAAAGGTCTGATAGTTTTTATTCACAAATGGAAGAAATGGCAATTCAATACGTATTATTATCTTAAAGCATCCGTCTCAGTAACTTGATAACACTTAATACACAGAATCTTATCAACGCCCGTAACACACATCTTTTGGTAATATAAAGAATGAGTGGTTAGATAAACGAATCTATTTTCTAAATTAATTCTAACTAGATAAAATTTGAATCAGTTCATACAAATAGACCATTTTAATACATCTTAAAAAATGTGTTACAAGCAGAATTGCATGGCAATCGGCAGTGGAATCCAGGACGCGTGTTTCTTCCGATTCAGAAGTTGTCAGATGGATCTGTCTGCATCTCATATTTGATATTCACTAAGACACTCTAACCCACAACTATTCGTTTCAAACGCCATCATGTTATTCATTTAGTTGCTCAGTTCAAACAGCCACCAGCTTGTTCAATGAGGTGAAGTTTGATTAATTTGTACTGGTTGTTTAAATCTTCTCACTGGTGTTTATCACTGCAATTGATTAATATCTTATTGGCTTATATGCATCCTGAGTGGACTGTCTCTATATTGCCGTCAAGTCACAAGCAACCATCTGACGATTCCTAAATAGTATCACGCGCACACCCTCGACTCCAATGCTAGCCGAATCAAGGTCAAACAAAACTATTTTCGGTCGTGATGGCTAGTAACGAATGGCGTTTCTACACATTCGTTACTCTACTGAAATCGGAAATGTGAACCACTGAGTGTTAGATTAGTGGTATGAAAATATGTAGGTCCTGACGACTCTTTGTGAAAAGGCCTTGGCCTACAACTACTGATGAGCTCCATACACAGGTTTAAACTTTTATTTATAATCCATTACCATGAATGATTTTCTAGCTTACATCAGTTCTTGATGTAGATTTCCTTCAATATTCTTCATTAAATATTAGTCTATGATAAAATCATATCTGTAATATCATAAACCTCTTAGTCAGCTAGTTGGAAGATTAAACTTTTGCTCAAACAAATGCATTACTTTAGCTCTTTTTTGAATGGAAAACTCAAACAAGCTACTTCGTTAAATAATGTGAAATCAATTGAAAATTTGAATGTAAAGGTAAATTGTTTTGATAGATCAAAGTGCCCGGTAACTATTGTATTCTATACATTCACTCTGCCAGTAGGATAGCAGAATGAGTTCTAAGAAATTTTGCGTATTTACCAACTAATTTCTCAAGAAAGATAATGAGTTTACTGTAACGTAAATAAAACTCTTTCATCAAAATTTGTTTCTTTCTTTGCTAAGTTAGATTACTGATATTCTTACTGAAATGTATGTATTAGAAAAATATCTCATGTTTCGGAATTTATTCGGATCACAAAGTGTTTGATAAAAGTTGGCAATTCATCGTTACTATTTCCAATGTTTGTTTTTCTGATGATGGTAATTCAGATAGGTAGTTGTTGATCAGTGGTTAAAGTGTTCTTTTATTCTTATCAACTTAATGGAAGTGTATTTATCAGACTGCTAAAATATATTCATCAATGCCATCTAGTTGGAAACGGTGTGTAGATTGTGCCGGTTAATCGATTGCAACTAAACACCAAGAATCTCCTGATAAAATAAATGTTTCAATCTGGCTAATTCTATAGGATTATTTTTCAACTAAACTTCTACTTTTTCACATGTCCTTGTTAAAGTAGTGGATTTTAAACTAGAAGAGGATAAGACCAGTATTTTCAACTTTTATTTATTAGGTTGTTATGTAAAAGCCTGTTTAACATTATTTATGATTATTTGACTTGATTAGAATGAACTTTGAAGGTTCAACAGTATAATTACTATCATTCATACAGTCCACAAATGTACCTTCTTGAAATAACACAACTTCCATTAAACAGTAAAATTTCGTCTGTTAATTAGCGTCTTCATTATTGCATAATAATTGACATGAATCGACAAATTTGCGTCAGTAATACTAACGTGCTATTACGGCCTCAAAATAGAAAACAAATTATTTGAATCTTTTCAGCATAATTTCCAGGTAAATTGCTTGTTAAAATAAAAGAGCTGAATTTGTCCATTTTTCTCTAATATTTTAAATGTTATCATTTCTATTTGGAACATCAGTAAATTACGTCTACTCTTGTATGACTTTTTAGTTTTAGAATAGGAGGTAGATAGGCATGTGTGTATAGGATAATAAAAGTAGTTATATTCTGATTAAATTGTCATCATAATATTAGATTATCTGTAAACTATCAGATGAACATTTGGCTCTAGTTTTAGATTTCGTCCCAGTAAGCATTCCAAGGATCAAAAAAGAAATTATAAGTCATATCAAGTTAAAAATCCATACCAAACTGCTTAATAGTAAATTAAATTGATCTAAAACAAATCACTAACATGGATACTGTTTTGCAAAAAATACATTGTATATTTAATTTTTAAACTTACTCCTCTGACTTGGGATATGATTTAAGTTCTTTCGATTGAATTTCATCTTCATTTTGAGGTTCAGCTGATATACCGATACCACGTTTTCTCGTTTGTACAGTTGGATCATGTACATGTGATTGATCATTGCCACCAAATCCAAACACAACATCATTCAAGCCCAATTGTCGTTCTCTTGATTGTTGTGGTTGTATTTGACCTTTAATCACTGTTACTGGTGTCGATAAAGATGGTGACTGATTAAATACACTTTGATATTTATCCAATAAACCTGATAATTCTGATATTCTTTTATTCTTATCAACTAAATCTTCTTGAAGTTGAATTATTAAAGCTTGTTGTTGTTGAATCTCATTTTGACATTTTGTATGCATTTTAAAACAATCACAGTACTTTAAAATCTATGACGCAATGTGATGTGAATGTGTTTGCGTGTGTGTGTGTGTTTATGTTTGTGTTGATTTGAACGAGTTATGGACAATTTAATTTTTTTATAATAAATGATGAAGAAGATCGAAATGGGGCCGAGATCATTTCACGTATGAATAAGAATAACAAATAAGAAACATAGAAAATAAAACAAAATTCAGTAAACACAATCATTTTACATTTAAGTACTGTACTATAATAAAAACGATTATGTAACTTACATCAAGGTGAGATATTTTTTCGGAGATCAATTTAAGAGACTGTATGATGATTACAATGATGAATTTATATGTATGAATAACAGGTAGTAATTTTATTATATTATTAGTGTTTTCTCTCTCTCACGGATATATATATATATATATATATATATATATATACTTTGTTAATTATGTACCATACAAGTTATCATTCTACGCACAGTGTATTATACTATTGGTTAAACAATAGTTTCTCTCATGTACATGCATGTGTGCATTTGCGCATGTATGGATGAATTCGTTTCAGTTAAAGGTATAATGCATGGTAATTGTATAATCATGAAATAGTGAAATATTCCATTATTCATTATCCAAGTTGATGTATATTTAAACATTTATATATATATATATATATATATATATATATATATATATATATATATATATATATATATATATATATATATATATGCATAAACATATAATGAAGACGTTGTTTATTGGGTGTTTGTTACATCAAGTAAGGTGAATGAAAATATTATATAATGAATATCGTTTATATATCACACTGAATGATTACTGTTATTACTATCATTATTAATTCATAAATATTATAGATAGATTGTTTTCACGTACGTACGAGCACATTCTTATATTCTGTAGCACAATTTGTAGAAAAATGTTTTCATAAAAATCCTCTAACGTTTGCCGATTATTTTCCTGATGTCACTATGGTAAAAAAATAAAAAAAAGTAAAAATAAAACTGACAACAGAATTGATAATTACTCGTGGCTTTAATTTCAATCATTCTATGATTGGACTTCACTTAACGTTCTGTTGTACAGATATTCATATGTACGAATAAATGAATAAATAAAAGTTATATTTACATAATATATATCTATGTATGTACGTAAATACTTGTGTTTTCTTTTCCATGGATTCTTTTTTGTCTAAAGCCACAATACTAATTATTTACCACATACTTTTATTGTAAGAGTATGATTGGCACATTTCTATTACAGTACAATCAGTGAATAGACAGATCGTGTTGGGAATTAGATTGTATCAACCAATAAGAAAAAATTTGTCACATAAATCAGTCATGTTATGGGTCAAAAACAAATTTATCACATTGAATTATACATGATTTTAAATGAAGGAAGAATATTAAGAGTTACAAGAAAAATGGCTTTTCATTTTATTTCAAAATCTCACTAAATGACTGATGGTTTAACCTATAGCTTACTTACTTACGCTTACTGCTCATGGAGGAGCGTAGGCCGCCCACCAGCACTCGCTATCCAACCCTATCATAGGTAATCCTTTCCAGCTCTTTCCAGTTTTTATTCATTCTTTTCATATCTGATTCTATTTCCCGACGTAATGTGTTCTTCGGCCTTCCTCTTTTCCGCTTCCCTTCAGGATTGCAAGTTAGGGCTTGCCTCGTGATGCAGTTTGATGATTTGCGTAATGTATGTCCTATCCATTTCCATAGTCTTCCTAATTTCTTCAGCTGGAAGCGGGTTTGTTCTCTCCACAGAAGGCTGTTGCTGATGGTATCCGGCCAATGGATGTTGAGTATCTTGCGAAGACAGCTATTTATAAATACTTGTACTTTCTTGATTGTGGTTGTTGTAGTTCTCCAAGTTTCAGCTCCATACAGTAGAACTGCCTTGACATTCGTATTGAAGATTCTCACTTTGATATTGGTTGAAAGTTGCTTTGAGTTCCATATGTTCTTCAATTGTAGGAATGCGACCCTTGCTTTGCCGATCCTCGCCTTTACGTCTGCATCTGAGCCTCCTTGTTCATCGATGATGCTTCCCAGATATGTGAAGGATTCTACATCTTCCAGAGTTTCTTGAGCAATACAGGTTTCGAGATCCATGATTGAAAGATAATGAAATAACTCTTCTTTTAACCTACCTAACTAACTTACTCGCTATCGACTGAAGATGACCTAGAGTTAACGTAGTTCCAGTCAATATTAACCTTCTGATAGTAAAAAGGACTGACATGACAGAAACAAAAAGAACTAATGCGAGAGGTCAACATCACGGTTGATTACTATGAAAAGTTATTAGTATAGAATTGGTTACCATACATCAGATTCTAATATATTCAATTTAGATATCATTATACTGGCAATGACAACAACTGTAGCATTATCAATAACAATAAATGAAATTCTAAGATGATGTTTCCAAGAAGAAAATAACTATCAGTATACATTTTATTAATGAATCTATCGTTAGGCTTCAGCTTTTACAGTTAACACTTAAAATCTCTTTTTTCAAACTATTTAGAGTACAATAATCACATTTCATGGTGATTTCAAGTTAATTCACTGGTCATATATTTACCATTCAACACGTACATACAGTGTTCATCATTGTTCACTTGTGACTATGACAGAAAGATGATTAACTATTTCTATGACATTTTAAATAGGACAGTTTTAAACAAAAATTGTACATGCATTATGCGACTATTTATAGGAATTTCATAAAAACTAAATCTCTTAAATTCACAGCTTTATGAAGACAAACGTAATCTTTGATAATAAACCATAGAAAAAGCATTACAAAGTCAATAGTCAATCCTTCATATTGTTGCACATTAAGAATGTATAACTGATATCCATTTGTTTCATTGGTAATATTTCTCCAATTGCTATTAATTCGGGAAAGATGGAACTTATCATTATCAGAATGTAACAAGTGAAATATAATGAATTCATGTAACTACATATGAAAGACTCATATTATTTTTTCCTGGGTTCAAACCCCGCGGGGTGGATGTGTGCTGCTGAGGAATCCCATACTAGGATGAAACGGCTGTCCAGTGCTTCCAGGTTTTCCGTGGTGGTCTAGCTTCAATTGGGTCATGATCTCAACTAATGAAATTACTATAATATCCACAAAACCCCTTCTGATATATATTATTCACCAAAAATTTTAATTTTTCTTTAATTTACATTTGACTCACCTAATGTTTAGTGATATTATAAATTAACCTAAATTAACACTAATCTACTTAAGAGGTTTTAAACATAATAAATTAAGTTTAATGTTAATTTTTCAGTAATTCTATATTAAGTAAAGTTGTTTACACGTCATCATTTCACTGATGATACTTGAGGAGTATACAGTGTATTTTTACATGTGATTGTTAAAATAAAACTTATTCATGTAAAATTTATGTACCTATGTTAAGAAGTCGTTGAGATGTCTAGTACTTCAATAATTGATATCGTGAGTCAATTGGAGCTAGACCACTACGGAAAACCTGGGAGTACTGAACGGACATTTCATCCTAGTATGGGACACCTCAGCAGTGCGGATCTACGATCCCGCTCCGCGAGCGAACACTTAACCTTTAGACCACTGAGCCGGCATCTAACGGTGTTCATGTCTAACGTCAGCACAATATATTTTTGGAAAAATATTTTTTAAGGCTTTGTTATACAAACAATCGCTAGTTTACATCAATGCTGAACAACAGATAGCTTTTTATATCTATTTCCAGGTTGATTGTAATATCATGGTAGTAGCTCATAATAGATTGTGTTTAGGATTTACAGATCCTGAAGCTAACACAATACTACTTGGTCATTCATTAAAGATCCAGTGATTTACATTTTTAAATTTAGGCTATGTATAAAATAGTGTGATCTTTAATCAGTATTACTAATGAATTACAATCTTACTTTCTACGGGGTTAACTTCGAATTTATTGAATATTGACTACAACTTACGAAAATTCATTTCAAGGATTATTATTTCAAAAAATAATATTTACTAACTTAGTTGTTGTTTCTGTGTCGAATCAAATACTAATTGTAATGCAACTAATAACGCTACGCATTTTCCTTGTTTTGATGGGCTTATATTGATGCTAAAATAGATGCTCTTGAATGTCTTCAAAGTTGCAAACGTGTTATTCTGACGTGTATCAGAGGAACAAAAACTTTACTAAAAGCTTCCTATTACTTCTAATACTCATTACATAGAACTTTTAGTAGGGGATCTCCAGGTTAATTTGTCGATACAGGAAATAAGTACTCAAGGAATTAAGAAATCAGTTTTACCATATTTTTAAAACACTACATTATTGCAAACGTTCATCATGCCAAGTTTCTAAGTATGGAAATTTAGGCAAACAAAACTCGCGGATTTATTTGTTACAGATAGTTATTTGACTATTATCTGTAAATCAAACTGACATGGACTGATTAAACATTGAAGAGATTTTTGAGATTTGTTATTAAATAATACCGCATACCCAAAACTTTGATCTCATACAATATTCAGGTTAGTCTTCAGTCAGTAAGCCTATCGACAAAGATTCATTTTATCTGTGTATAAGGAAACTTTTATTTATTAACATGATCAGTGATTAAACCAACAAAACAGTCAATCAGAATGGAAAGATACTTGAAGACAGCAAAGTTTTCGAATGCAATCCATCAAAAACTAGGTCATTAAAATGGATTGACTCAACGTTTTTCTAACATATTTTAGCAAATAAAATAATGATATATTTATGATAAATTAATGAGTAGAAATGGGAACGTATGAACTTTCGTGACTAAGCATATACCACCTATTCAGAGTAAGTAAATAAATAATCCAACTAAATCAACACATAATGATTTAGTTATTTATTTACTCTAAAGAACTGGCTTAGAGTTAGTCACGAAACGTCAGAAATTCTGATTTCTACTCATTGGAAGATCACAAATATATCACTTTTTTTACTTTCATTCTATCTAATACTTAATTTATCTAGAATTATCAAGTCTGACCTTTACATTAATACTTATATTTTTGAAATCTTATTTGATGTTGCTCAGAACCGACAATTCAACCATGAATTTTAGAGAACACAACATCCCCATAATCATTTGACCTGAAACCTCTATTATTTCAATTGAGTGTGTAGCAAATGTAGAAATATATTTCCAAGTTCTTATTATATATTGTTTGTTAGTGAAATATTGAGATGAATTTGATAACAAAACTTTTAAAGTACATGAGAAATCCATATATTTTAATGTACTTGTCTTTTGTGGATATTTATTAAGATAAGACTGTCAGTGTTTGTATAAGGTAAGGGTCTGAACAGATAGTTG